AAGAGATGTGAGACGAAAGCTCGCTGGGAGTTGCGCATGGCAAACGTCAACTTTCACTTGCCTTGTGCCAAACAGCCACAGCAACAACAAATAACAAGCCAGGTCAGTCATCAGCAGCAGCAGTTACACATTACTATAAACAACAACAATAACAATGTTCACTTAAGCTGAGCGTGGCTCATCATCCAAATGCTAGTCAGCTACAAGAGCGGTCTAGAAGGCATTCTTATACACTAACCCCGAGAGTATCTTGGCTATAAGCACTCTATTTGCCATGCTGATATGGCTAGTTGATAAGCTTAACTGTATTTGTAGATATAATAGAGCTAGAGATACTCGCTATAGAGCAAGTTGTAGTAAGAGTATTTGAACGTCATCTAACAACACCTAAATATATATATATATATATATATCTCGATCGCTTGTCTAATTTAGCGATGCGTTGATTTGATAAGGAATCATTTTGTGGTAGCTGCGCTTGAGCAGCAATTAGCAAAAACAAAAAACCAAGAAGAAATTGCCAAAATTTCGCTGCTTGTTAATTGCCAAATTTTTGTCTTAAGTTTTTCGTATGCAAATGGGGAGACAACTAATTTTTTTTGCTCAGGTGAAAATAGTCGAATAGGAAGAAAGTGAAGCAGCAGCAGTACAAAGCACCGTTAAACTAAGCAGCCCACACACACACTCACAGACACGTGCACAAGCTGAGGCCAGCACCATTCACTGAAGTTCTTTTGGGAGCATTGCGTAACGAGCATTTGTTCGGCTAGGGTCAAGCAGCGTTGTCAGCGCTGCTCACAATAAGGCAGCGACGCAGCGTCCGTTACTGTCTCAGTGGGTTAATAGTACACTTGCTCAATGGCAGCTCGCTGACTGGCAGACGGACAAGCCGGTTTTTATTTTTAGCTGGCGCGTCGATTTATGGTCAAGGCTTGTTAAAAACCCATTTACATGGGGTGTGCTCTTGCTCTTGCTCTTGCTCTTCTACACGGTGCAATATGATGGGTCGCTCTGCTGCTGCCGCTGATGTTGCTCTTGTTGTTGTTGCCATCTGTAAAAGTAAAACTGCCCGCTACAACATTCACCCAGGCAGCCCAAAAACGAAAAAACTAAACACTCAGTCAAGTGAAATGCGACTCAGACGCCGCAGCCACCGCTTACTTTTTTTTTATATTTTCTTACCCTGCCCCCTCACGCTGCCACGCTCCGCTTCAAGCGGCAGCCGGCGAGGCAACTTGAGCTCAGCTCGGCAGCAGGCGGGCAGGCAGGCAGCTTCAGTTGGAGCTGTGTGAAAGCTGCGTCTCAGATGCGGTCGGCAGTCGGCGTTGAGCTCAGTCGCTCAGTCTCAATCGGCAAGCAGACGCAGACGCAGGCGCAGCGGCAACGTCTCCAACTCTCAAGTTCAATTCCAAAGTCGAAGTCGAATTCGAATTCGAATCAAGCGCGCGGCACGTGAAATGTTTAGCGAATGTTAACACAATGTTAATGCTATGCTAGGCCAAACTGTAAAGTAAGCAACATGGAATACAAACACACAAATACAAATACAAATACAAATACAAATACAAATACAAATACGTATACAAATACAAATTAATGGGGCCCATAAAGTGGGGCCAACCACTGTGAAGAAAACTTGCAACTGCGTTGGCGTTGAGGCTTCTCGTTGTCGTTGTTGCAGCTCCTCGTTGTACTGTTATAGTGAAAATAGAAAGTGGTTCCTGTTTGTTGCCCGCGAGTTTTCATTTGCTTTACATAAAATGCAGTTTCGGCGGCACTAAATGATCGTGTGAGAGTGTGAGTGTCTGCATGTGTGAGTGTGTGCCTTTGTGTGTGTTTATATATATATATATATAGTGTCATTTAAGTGCTGTTCAAGTTATGAGCATTAAGCCATTTAAAGACTGTCATTAATTATGGCTTGTTGTGGCTCTAATGTCTAAATAAACAGGATTAAAAATATTTAAGGCTTTTCAAAGTTTTAAATTTATTTAAAAAAATGATTAAATTACAAAATATATCAATGCAAAAGTGATCTTAAGTTATCAAAACTTGATGTTTAGTGTTTACTATAGATAACTTTCAACTGAAAATGAATGAATTGGATATTTATTAAAATATTTTAAGATATGCAAATGTTGCTAAAGATTTTATGAATTATTAGAACATCGTTTCCATCAGTAATACAAGAGAATTAAGAAAAAGACAAGGTCATAGAGAATGTGTAACACCCTGTATAATATGCATATATTCTGTGAATGTTAATGCTAACTGCGTAGATCGACTGTTAGCAGAGACGCTATTCCATTCGGTTTATGCAAAAGTTGAACTGTTTGGCTGCATTGTTTACCCTTGTTCCCCTTTCTATTCTGCTACTTACAGAAAGAGACACCAAAAGATCAACAAACCCGAGAAGAAAGCAGCGAGCAACACGAAGAGACGAACATCAGCCGCAGCAGCAGCAGCAACAAAGATCCAAAACAAACTGTTTTGATCTTAACAGACAGAGAGACACACAGATATATACATAGACACTAGCAGGCTATATAGTCGAGCGGATTTATATAGCAGCAATAAAATGGGACACTATACGCGACACAGTTGCCTCTTGGCCTTAGTCTTGTGCCTGGCATTCAACACAGAGGTAAGTGCCACACAGCTGTCTGGGAAGAAAGTGTAAAAAGATGAGTCTTACAAACGACATGTTGAAAAGATGCAGATCGCTGTCCGATAGCCCAATCAATATGATTTCAACTCAATTAGGAAACACCAAACGCTATACAGTTAGCGTGGCCCACTTATAAATTGACAGCGGGCGAGCGAGACAGTGCGCGGCTTATTTCTTACATATGCAAACCAAGCTTTATAGCGGATCTGCTCACTTTCGACGCGACGGACTACCGTTTATCAATATCCAATTCAATTCGAATGCAAATCAGTGCGAGTGGCCATTGTGTGGCATATTGATGGGTTGATCAAAAACTAAAAAAACGCTCAGATGAGCTGTATTGCTAGCGGTATAGTAGAGATCGATCTGCAAGCAGAGGCGGATGCGGAGGCAAAGCGCAAAGAAGTGCAGTAAGTGCGCTGCAGTCGCATTAAACGGCACTTTGTGTGCGGCTGATCAATGTAATTAGAAGCAACACAAGTTGCCAGCAGCGCCAAGCTAGCAAAGCCACTTAGTGAGCGAGAGTGAGATAGCGAGCGTTTAGCTTAGCAGTGGCGCTGCTAACAATTGAATAGTTTACAGGAATGTTAAGCAGCCAACGGTTATCGCTTGAAATGACGAATGACGAGCACAAGAGAGAGAGAGAGAAAGAGAGAGAGAGAGAGAGAGCGCGGGATGAGCTTAACAGCGGCGCAATTAGTCATTTAACAGTGTGCAAAATGTTAACTTAAACGCTAATCAATCAAAAGTATGGAAGACCATAACAGAGGCGCTTTGAAAAGTTTAACAGCAATATGTTAGTCAGGCAATCAATCAACATATGCAATGTACATAATAGAGAGAGAGCGTAGCTTAAGCCTGGCGCTGTTGAGCGTTTAACAGCGTGCAAAATGTTAGCCAGCGTAACGGTAATCAATCAAAATAACAAATGACGACAATAAGAGAGAGCTTAGCTTAACAGTGATGTTGTTAGCCTTAACTTTATTTAATAACAATTACGAATAGCTGTAGGTTTTGAGGTTATGCTGCTTGTAGTCAAGTTAGATGCGCTTTCGATTGAAATGCAAGATTTATATGAAAATGTATTTAGCCACATATATGCGAACATGTAAATCAACGCAAATTGCTTATTTATGCAGCCATTTAAACTGCATCAATCACTCACACACACACGCAAACACACACATGCACACACATACACTTATGCAGAGCGAGTATCTTGCAGATGCAATCGCGAGTCACGGAAAACTTGAGCTCTAACTGCAACTAACTGGCCAGCAGTTGGCGCTGCGTGTCTGTATCTGTATTGGGGCAGCGAAATTGCAGTTATGCTCTGATTTGTACCAGTTTTGACTTTCTTGTTTATAGCGCATTAATACATTAAGACTGCTATATTATTCATTTAACGCCAGGTTTCTTCAGCCGCGAGTGAAACGCGTCAACAGAATAGGGGGAAAAACTGCAGCTAACAAATACACATCGATTGTATTAGAATGTATTTATATATAGTCAGCTATATGAAAAGATGTTGAAGTAAAACTATGTTTTGATATAACGCTTCTTTTATTTAGTTTTCATTTGTTTGTTGATCGTGGTCATTTCACTTTCAAAACCAACTCACGACATCTCGGACGACAAAAGATATCCAAAAATGAAGAAAAAATCCACAGCGTCATCGTCTTGAACTTTCGATTTTCGTTGGGCTGAGCCACAGACACAGCGTTACATCCGCTTTCCGGGCATAGCCAGAAGACAGAAAGAAAAAAATACAGCTATAAAATTATGAACCAAATGTGAAACGGGAATGAAAAAGATACACTGAAAAGAAAGCGACGCAATCGAGTTACCAAGCCAAAGAGCAGGGGAGGGGAGGAGGGGAAGGGAGGGAGCTGCCAGTGGAAGGGAGCAAGCAGCATACACATGTAGCTGGCTTATGCAATAGGCCCTGCTTCGGCTTAGGTAAACGTGCCTCGCTCCACTCGGCCATTCAATTTCAAAATAAATAAACTGCGGCGCAATTTTCAACGCTCTGGCACGCTTCTTTCGAAAACTACGCGGTTGTCGCTTGGATTTTGATACGAATTGCATAAGGCGTCGCAAATTAAATGACAAAATAGGCAGCCAAGCATGCGCACCAGGTTTTCCGCTGAAAGAGTTTGAAATCTTTAGCAATACAATGAAATATCTAACACTTAAAATTTCTGGAAACGAGCGATATTCACTCTGGGCACTTGATAAGAAAGTTGAGAAGTCTGACTAGGAATGGAGACTTCTTTGTACATAGCATCTATACCTTAGCAAGATTTACTCTGCATTACTTAATTCCCTTCTCTACTCTTCCAATGCAGCATCTTTCCGTGCAAGGCGATGCATCACACATTGAATCGGCTGCGCTGCCATTGGAACACAGAGCTGGCTATGGACCCCCAGCGCCTTCACCTATCTATGGAGCACCACAGGGACCGCTGAGCACCGCCGGTGCTGGTCCCAGCAACGATCTGTCGGAGGAGGCTTGGCCGCTAGCCAGCACCAATGACAGTCCACAGATCAAGCATCTGCAGGTGCAGTGCGAGAAGACACACATGCGTGTGAACATTGAGTTCGACAGGCCCTTCTATGGCATGATCTTCTCGAAGGGCTTCTACAGCGAGTCCCACTGCGTGCACATGCAGCCCGGAACGGGCCATCTGAGCGCCACTTTCGAGATCTTCCTAAATAGCTGCGGCATGAGCAGCTCGGCCAATCACAATGCGGCGGGCTACGGTGCACCCACTCCATCGGGCAGCTATGTGGAGAACACAATCATTATTCAGTACGATCCCTATGTGCAGGAGGTTTGGGATCAGGCACGCAAGCTGCGCTGCACCTGGTATGACTTCTACGAGAAGGCCGTCACCTTCCGCCCCTTCCAGGTGGACATGTTGCACGCTGTCACAGCCAACTTCTTGGGCGACAACCTTCAGTGCTGGATGCAGATCCAAGTGGGCAAGGGACCTTGGGCTTCCGAAGTGTCGGGCATTGTGAAGATCGGACAGACCATGACCATGGTGCTGGCCATTAAGGATGACGAGAACAAGTTCGACATGCTTGTGCGTAACTGCGTCGCTCATGATGGCAAGCGTGCTCCCATCCAGCTGGTGGATCAAAATGGCTGCGTTGTCCGACCCAAGATCATGAGTAAATTCCAGAAGATTAAGAACTTCGGACCCTCCGCTTCTGTGGTCAGCTTTGCCTACTTCCAAGCCTTCAAGTTCCCCGACTCGATGAACGTGCACTTCCAGTGCGTCATTCAGGTCTGTCGCTACAACTGCCCCGAGCCCAAGTGCGGACCTGGTCTGCCTGGTGGTGAATATGGACTGCCACAGATCGGCGGCAATGCGCTCTCCGAGGAATACGGTCCACCAGAGGCTTACGAACGCAATGACTTTGCTTTGGGTGGTCTGCCACCAGCAGCTTATCCCGATCCACGTCATCCGGCTGCCGATGCAAGCGGCGCTTACTCCGAGAATCAACCCGATGTCGTACCCTCGCCACAGGCCCAAACCTCAGCGGTGACCACAGCCGAGTCAGCGGGCAATGCGGGCAGCGGCCCAGCCAGCTCCCAGGCGCCGCAGCCGCAGCCACAGCAGGGCAGCAACGAACTGGGTCTGCCGCCTCCACCACTACCCGGCCAACCTGGCCAATACAGCACCGTGAAGCGCAAGGATGATCTGAGCGGTGGCAATCTTGTTGCACTGGGTGGCCGTCCACGCTCTGTCGAGGGTCTGGATGATCTGCGCGGAGTGCGCCGGCGTCGTGACACAATGGAGATTGTGGTTAAGCCAAGAATCTACAAGCGCAACGCACAGGAGATGACCGACGTGAACACGAGTCGCATCATTCAGGTGGTGGCACCTGGCGATGTTAACTTTGCGCTCAATAGCAATGCCAGCAACGAGACGGTGGTCATACAATCGGCGCGCTCTGCCGATGCCGAAACCATTTGCATGTCTGTGCCCAGCTTTGTCGGTGGCTTGGTGATGCTGTTGCTCGTCCTGGCTGTGGCCTCTCTAGTCGCCGCCTTCCTCTTTGTGCGCGTGCGCCATTTCGATCGCAAGGGCGCGGGCATGGCCTATGTCAACTAAGTAGAAGGCACAACACACAGCACAACACACAGACACACACACACACGCATACACACTAGGTATCCATGGCACCATCATTAGCACGGCGTGAATTGAAAACCAAATCAGTTTTATGTGCACCTCTCTTCATTTCACACTTCAAATTTCTAACTTATTTATGCTGTCTCATGCTCTAAAGCATTTCCCTATTTATTATTTTATTTTAATTTTTTTTGGCTATTTATTGAATTATATTTTCGCATGGCAACGATCCGCCTTATCTGCATAATTCTTTAGTTCTTTAGCGATCGAAATGAATCGAAATAAACGAAAATTGTGACGTAATTTTTCTCATTGTCAGATTTGTTAAGTTTCAGTTATACATAAATAATTTAAAAACAAAAAAATCAAAAAAAAAAAAAACGGAACTATCTAAATTACGAGTTTAAATGGCACAGCGGATAACAAACGAAAGAAAATGAAAATCAAAGCTGAAAATCGTTTACAATAAGTTAATATAGCAGATGTATATATTAAATTATTTATTTATTACTTTATCTGATAGCTGCGAAATAATAAAAAGTTTACTTTTATTAAAACAACGTGTCCGTTCTTATTGCTTATGGGCTGTGCTGAATAGATGCAAAATAATGCTGAACTCGTAAAACTGCTGAATGTACATGTGTACATGGACGTCTATAGATGCATACAGAAGTTTAGGCATATTTTATGAAAATCTCAATTGTACTCTACTTATTTATTTACAAACACATAAATATTTACAATTCTCTCGTTTACATTTTGCCAGAATATAGCATAAAATAAAAATTCATTTATGCAGAAATCTTTCTAAATAAAAATCGCCTGAGCCTTTGTTTCGCACAACACTTTTGTTTGAATAATCGACTATGAATTACGTTAACTATAGCGAATAGCACTCAAGAAGGTAACAAATTTGAACAGTTAGGCACGTTTACGCTGCGCGTGCATCGTTTATTGTGGCTGGGACAGTCACCTCGAGTCCGTCCATGTCCTTGGTCAATGTAATTTGGCAACCTAAGCGTGAGGTATCCGTAAGGTCGTAGGCCAAATCCAACATATCCAATTCCTCATCTCCTGGCTTTTCCGGCAGCTTATCATAGTCAGGAACTTTGAATATGAGATGGCATGTAGAACAGGTCAAGGTGCCCTCGCAGGCACCAAAGCCATCTAGATCCACATTGTTGTTAACGACGACGTCCAGCAGCGAGTCGCCGACCTTCCCGGAAGACTTAATTTTCTCGCCATTCGCTCTTATAAAGGTCACATTCACACTGAGAGACACAGAGAGAGTTACATATTACAACTATTTCTTAGTTTTCCCTTGGGCGTGTTTGTTAATTAGATGCCACTTACACATCTTGTTGCCGCAACGCCAGACCCAGCGAGAAAGTGCGCGTGAAATTTGTTGCTCGAATTTCGTTGGTCAAACAATTTCGTATGTAAGCATTACGCAGCGATAATCTTGCTGTGTTTCGTATTGTGTTTATGACTAACATTTTTGTTATGTTTGTGCCTTCTATCTAATCAGTTAACTTAAGCACCCACGCCCTCTTTGTCTGGCAATATAGGCGTTATTATTTAATAAAAAAAGAGGAATTAACAGACAATTTATGTAGCACACGCAACAGCTCTCAACAGTAAATAATTGAGGAAATCTGATAGCTGACAGGTGAAGATAATCATATGGTAAAGCTAAAGCTGCCAGACCGTTCTGCGTTTTCAGTGCTGCCCAGTCTTACACAGATAAGCCGCCAATGCTTTAATGCTCTCATATTGATCTCTTTCATTACTCTCGCATCCTTCATGCTTAAATAATAAAAAAAAATTAAAATATATATATTCTCATTACAATTAGAATGTTGCCTGGATTAATTTTGTACTGTTTAATAATACAAAATGCTGTCTTGCAGATCTGGCAGCCTCATCGTATGTTATCGATAACATACTTGTTTACATTTTGTTAAAGCATGGCCAGTTTACATTTTTGGAACGAATTTGAATTAAAAAAGCCTCCATTAGTTACCTTACAAATTGAGGATACAGGATTTGGTAGGTTACGTTATATTTTAAAGTCTTAAGACCCCTATTCAATGAACAAATCTCCACGCAGCAAAGAATGTCTTTGTGGCCATCAATGGCTACCTGCAACAGTTGTCCAGACCTGATTTCTTGGAGTTTAACCATACAGCCGCTCTGATAGGACGTCTAATGGCACGTCGGAAAAACTCTTTTCGTGGGATGCCAGGATTTCGCGCTGTCTGCAAACTTAATGCAGCGCTTTGCCGACTACTCCGTCTTGATTTACCTCGCGACTTGGAACATATTCGTGGAGCTTTGCCCGATGCATGCGATGAAGAGCTTTCTGGCGATATGCCCACCCGGAACAGTTTTGAATTTGTCTTGGTGCGATTGCTAGCCTTTTATCATTTGCATGAACGTATTCGTGACTGCTGTCAGGCGGCTATAAAATACTTTGGACAAATGATACGCAGCAACTTTTTTATGGAGTTCCTGACCCTGCTAATTGCAGCAGTAGCCAAGATAAATAAGCTAAGCTTAGTGCAATCCAACAGTTGTGCTACATTGTACAACAAGCTGCAACCCCAGTGTCTCAACTTTCCACAGGTGGAAAAGCATAATTTCCTGCCTGAAAACTGTAAATTGCCAACGCAACTGCGTGTAATTAAAGAAAGCCAGTCAGCTGTTGGAGAGGAAGAGGCTAATCCTGCAGGTGTTAATCTGCTTATTCAGGCACCTTCCCTGATTACGAAAGTAGAAAAGGCTAAGCAAAAGCTTAAGGCAGATGTGGGTACAGTGGTAGCACGCCAGACGCCTATAGCTCCGACACAGACAGCTTTTCAGATGAGTTCACTGTCCACAGTGGAAGATGTGAAGCATTTTATCCTGCGTGAATCTAAGGCACGCAAAAAGAATCCTGGAAGCTGTGTAACGAAACCAATACAAAATCATGAATGGTTAGCTGCGAAAACGTTATTTGAGCGCAAACTACAGGCCAGGGATCAGGCAAAAGCTTTGAACATATTTCGTAAATTTATTGGTAGTAAAATATAACATGAAGAAACTCACAACTCAATAAGTTATTTTACACTTACAGATTAGAGAGCATGCCCTCAGCCAGTTGCATACGCTTTAGTCCCACAATATGTTGCTGCGAATGTACATGGTTCTTCTATAAAGAGGGAAACATCAATAACATAATTCGGATTGTTAGTCATTGACCGACTATATTTACCTTAACAAACTTCTTAAAGTTCTGGCGGCCTTTGTATTTGTTGTCAGTGCCGTTGGCTGCATCCGTTTTATCTTCGTCGCCAACGTTGATACTTAAGTTGCACAAGCGCACTTGTATGCTATTCTTTAAGCTTGCAAGCCATTTAACATGCTCTAGCTTCTCTTTATCATCCTCGTCGTCCAGCTCTTTCTTTATAGGCTCTATATCAATTTCTAACCCATCTGCATCTGGGTTAGTTTCCGACTTAATCTCCTCATGTAGCCCGCTACATGATAGCCAGCCGCTTACATTTATTTTACGAGGCTGATCCCTTGGCTTGCGAACAATGTACTTTGATTTTGGTTTCGATTCATCTTCAAATGGTTCTGTGCTAACTGAATCCTGATCGTCGTCGCTCACATCCTTGTTCTGTTCTCGTTCATCACGTCTTTTAAAACTGAACATATTTTCATTATCGGATTCATTGTCTGATCTGATATGCCCAATGGATTGCCTACGTTTCTTGCCGTCCCCAAAGTTGAAAAGATTCTCATCGTCGTCGCTGTCGCTTTCGTTTATCTGCTTCAAACACAAACGCTTTCGTTTTTGAGATGTAGCTGGAGCAAAGTTTTGACTTGAAGCCTGACTCTGTGATTTTTCCAGAAAATTTCGCACACTAATTTTGCCTGGTTTACTGATATTTGGGCTAGGCACCGCTTGCTTAGATAATTTACTATTGGTGTCCATGCTGGGTTCAGTCGGCTTGAGTGATGCTTGCTCCACAGGTGGGGAAGCTTGTGACTTGAATTGGAAAAGTCCTTCATCGTCCTCGCTATCACTCTGAACTATTTGCAATGTAACTTTTTCTGCAGGTTGCTTGCCACGCGCAGATCTTCTGGGCGAGATCTCCTTTTTCTTTGTCTCTACTTCAACTTGCTGCTGAGGATGGGATCGCGTTGAACGTCTAGAAGACTTACTTGTAGTTGGCTCTACAGCGGCATTTTTAATGGTGACTTCAGAGGGCGCATCAATGGAATTATTTAAGCTTGTCTCGACCACAGGCAACGTTTTCGATTTCTTTTTCGATTGTATGGCAATGGGTTGATCGTCCTCAGAGGAATCTAAAATACGTTCAATTTTACGTTTTGACTTGTTCTCAACAAATGCTTTTGCTTTCTTGATTGGCGCCTCGATCTGAATGTCTTCCTCCGAGGAGGAGTCCAAGTATATGGCATTATTTTGTTTTTTAGACAGCATCCTGTTTGATTTTTGGATTGGTTCTGGTTTTGGTTCCGATGACTGATTTTCACTTCCAATGCTTGGTGCATATATTTCCGATTTCTGAGATTCGGTGACAACAAACTCAGATGCTTTGTCTGCGTCTCGTTGTGTTTGACTGCGTTCTGTATTTGGAACCAAGATCGAAGAATCCATGGACTCGGTTGTAGCCAAAGAGTTCTCAGTAATTCTGTACGACGGATTACAGAACTTTTCCAAGGAGCAGTGTAAAATAGCTAAGCCAATTTCATAATCGGGTACAGGACGTAGTCCGGCCTGCTCTAAAATACCTAGAAGAATAAACAGATCAAAATTAATAAAATACAAATAAAGCTAACACTTGTAAAAGACACTTACATTGTACACTAAAAATAGTTTCTGTTGCTTGGGATTGAGTAGACGTCACATATTGTATGACTACGACATTCGCTTTAGTTAGAAATGGTTTTCGTACGCCAGAGTTGAGATCTTTACAAGCGCCGCCTGCTTTCAGAACTATCGGGCCGTACATATCGAGGTGCTTTCGATTCATAAATACAAATGTTTTGCCAGCGAAGAGTTTTGTGCGTTCTGGACGCCACTTAATGCTGGGCAAATCTGCTGGCTGTACGGGCGTAAAATCTTCAGGCTTAGGAAAATTATCGGGTATGTGAATACGCGTAGCTAACTTCAGCAACTGTCGCCAGAAATCCATACGAACGATGGGTTTATTCTCTAGTAGTGCATGTAGAAGCTTTACTGTAATCGTCACCGTGTCCATAGTTAAATGCGAGCACTCATCCGTCCAAGATGGCAAGATAACGCCATTTAGTGGTTTTATTAGGTTATTTAATTCTTGTATCTCAGTGACATTCAGCGCGGATGCAGTGGTTATCAATTTAAGCTGCGACAATTTCCACACATTCTTCAGGGCACCAAAGCGAATCTTGTCTCCAACTAGCATTGGAGTTGGAGTCTTTGGATTTATTTTTTTGTTACGGTCAATATCATTGTTGATGAATGTACCGTACCGAGAGCCCAGATCTTCCACGGCCAGCGGCCCGCCATTGGAGACACAAATCTTTACATGGGCGCGACTTATACTAAGGTCCTCAGCCAAAATGACGTCTGTTGACATGCGACCGATTGTGTATATCGCTTTGGATGAAAGCAAAACGATCTTTTCTTTATCTGCAACATCTCTTGGTTATTATATAAACTGTGAATATATGTTTAGTTGTCGACAAACCATTATCTACTTTTGTGAAAACAAACATAATTTCAACAATTTAAACAGACACCACAATTTCACAAAGACCGCTAACAGAAACATCTGTTGGCATGCTGTTAAGTGTTAGTATTTCTGTTAAAAGTTAACATAGTAATGTTAAGCATAGTACTCATCTCAAGTACACAACTGACAAGTAATTTTGCTCTTGCTAGTGTGAGCGGCATACCAGTCGTTACGTTCACAGTTGAATGGCAAGCCGGTGAACTGCATTCGGTTTTTTTTTTTTGGATTTGTTTATTGTTTTTATTTAGTGAAGCAATATTTTGTAAAGTTAATGTGCATAAATAAATAGTTTAAAATGGCACATTTAACGGGTACACGTGTCAGCATGTTCAACGAGTCCTTCCTCAACGACAATGAGCACGATTCAAATGCCGTGCTCATGGAATTGGACAAGGGGCTACGCAGTGCAAAGCAGGGCATACAATGCGAGGCAATTGTCCGCTTTCCGAGGCTTTTTGAAAAGTATCCCTTTCCCATACTTATAAACTCGTCATTTATCAAATTGGCCGAGTTCTTTGTGAGCGGCTCAAATCTTCTGCGTTTCTGGGTGCTGCGTGTGTGTCAGCAGAGTGAAAATCATCTGGACAAGATTCTCAACATTGACAATTTTGTGCGGCGTATTTTTATGGTAATGCATTCGAATGATCCAGTAGCGCGTGCTCTCCTGCTTCGCACTCTAGGCGCCGTGTCACGCGTAATACCAGAGAAGCCACAGGTGCATCATGCGATACGCCGAGCTCTCGACAGTCATGATACAGTAGAAGTGGAAGCAGCCATTTATGCCAGCAGCTGTTTTGCCGCCCAATCGAGCTCCTTTGCCATCAGCATGTGTGCAAAGATCTCCGACATGATTGAATCGCTGCAGGTACCGGTGCCGATGAAGTTGCTGCTTATTCCGGTGCTCCGTCACATGCATCACGATGCCAATACAGCGGCCTTGGTCAGCAAGCTGTGCCTAGAGCTGTTGCCCAAGTATCCCGCCCAAAGTTTTGTGGTGGCCATCATCAACACACTTACTCAATTGTCGTCACGTACACTGGTGGGCGTGCCAGGTCAACTCAATGTGTTGCTCGATTTCATGCAGGATTTGCGTACGCCGGTGCGTATTCAAGTACTCCGATCCTTCAATGAACTTGCCGGCAAGCAGAGCGTCAATGCCTGGCCCAAGCCTGCCATCGGTGCTCTCATCGAGAAATTCAATCTCTGCAAAAATGGAGCGGAACAGTTTCTCTTTCTCTCCATTCTCTTGAAGCTGAGCGAGTGTCCACTTACTTGCCAGCATTTATTGTTGGAACATCGTGACGCTTTGCTGCGCCTGTGCAATGAGTGCATCAGTAAATTGGATGATTATACCACAGCTACACAAGCAATGGCTGTGCTGGCTGCCTTGTTGGCATTTGGTCTCAAGAAACAGGTCGCACAAGTCGACGACATCTTGGATATGGTAAACCTACATATGGAGGGGTTGCTATTTTGTACGGCCCGTCGTGCGGAGTTCAATCGAGATCTGCGGCGTGTGCTGGCATATGGCATACGCATTACCCAAGCCAATGCAGATTTCGGCGCTGACTTCATTGAGATGGTAACCAATACGCTTGGGGACAATGTGAATTATCCGCCAGATAATTTACAGCTCATTTGCGAAGCGGCTGTTGGGCTCTGTGAACACTTTCAACTGCGCAAGTATGCATTTTCCACAGCTGAAGGACTAGAAGATGAAGCAGCCATGGAAACGGAAGAGCCTGCACCGGCTAAGGTAATCTTTCTCATATTCAATAAATAAATCAAATATTAATATTTCGATTTGCAGCCGAATCCAATGCTCGCCCGTCTGCCGCTTATTCTGTACAAGCTGAACAAACTGGTGGACAGCGAGGAGCAGCCAGAGCAGTTGCTGCGCACAGTGGAAATACTTAGCGCTTTGGTCTGCCAAACGACCATGGGCTGTTACCTGCCGCAGGAGGTGGTACACTGCTTCGAGAAGTGCATTGACCGCGTCAACTGTTGGACTCTCTATCGCATAGCTCGCACGGCTAGCCGCTATGGACATCACTACGTTGCGGCGCACATATATACGAAGGTCTCACAGATTGTGATCAGTGATCATATGCACTACTTTCTGGTGGCTCTGTCGCAGATCTCGCAGGCTGAATGTATACTTAACTATGGCTTAGAATATTCGTATATGCGGGATAATTATGGGCCCACGGAAGCACCTGCGCCATTGTTGCCGTTGATGAGGCGCTTGGAAGCGGCAAGCAATCTGTATCAGCAGGCGCTGGCCAGCATGCGTGCTTGCTCTTCGCCCCAACATCCGTGTAGCTTTCAACTGGAGTATCTGAAATTGCGCGCACAATTCCTCCAAACTTTGCACTTGGCTGTAACGGTGAAGAATGCGCAAGTAATAGTGCCACCTCCGGCGATTGCGGGCAGCCTTGCACAGAATTCACGTGATTATTTGCAAAAATTTGGTCATGTAACGAATCAGTTGCGCAAGCTGGTCAAGTCGCTGAAGGCTTGTGAAGAGACATATGCGCGCCTCTATAAGTCATCATTTGACGCGGATAATGTGACGTTGGAGTTTCTTGAAGTAGCCGAATTTCAATGCGCGCTTTTCGCCCATATTATCGAATCAATTTGTTATGCTACGCCACCAGAACCGCCTGTCTTCCTGACCACAGGCAATCATCCGGAGACGCGCTTCTTTGCTGCTAGCTGTCAGCGAATGGAACAAATGCAGAAAAATCTACCACAGGAACCTCCCAATGCCAAAACCATTAGCAACAGACATTTAGACGTGATCATTGCTCTGATTGAAATCATAACAAAGACGCCGCTGTGCTTGCCGCGTTACTTCTTCCAGATACTGCAGTCTACACAGATAAAGCTGTCGGTTAGCCCGCAGCCTCGTAGCAGCACAGAACCCGTCATTGTGCAGTCTGGCAGCAATTTAGTCATCAAGGTTGAGGGTGTACTGCAACACTTTAGCAAACAGCAGAAGCACTTCCGACGCGTAGACTCAGTGCAACTGAGTCTTACATCGCAGTTGCTAACGCCACGCCCTGGCAACGAGATGGTGAAGTCACCCAACAACGACACAGTCACATTGAATCAAATTGTGAAACCACAACGTGATTTCCTCTCAGGTAGCTTCTTGCTGCCCATCTCCAGTGGCGGCCAGTTTCAGGTAACGTTGGAAACATTTGTAGTGGATGAGCATGGAATAACTTGGTGCACGGGTCCGAAAAGCTCAATGGTGGTGAGAGTGCTGGACGATCCAACAAAGCCGGCTGCAGCGCCAGTGGCTAGCACTTCTCAAGCCACAAGCCAAGCAAGGCGCTACTAAAACAGAGAATAACAATAATGTCAAGTTTAAAATATGAATTTAAATTTGGCGGTTAACTTTAACAATCACGCAGCACTGCATTGGGCACAAGTGGCATCAGTGCGTTGATTTTGTGTGAATGGCAAACCAGCTGTTTCCACACTAGCAATTGTGCTCTTCACACTGAACTTTTCACGTTAGTCGTTGTAATAAACAATGTAAAGAGATATCTCCGAAAATTTTGTAGTTTATTTTTTACAAGAAATGCGGGTGTGTATCAACGCAGGTCAGCTAGCTCGCACTAAATGGAGTTTATTGGCAGTAAAGGCAGTAGTTTATCTTTGATATTTGATACCTCATAAAAGAGCTGCCTGCAGCTAGCGAGCGAGCAAGTGGGTTTATGCTGCGATTGTGAATTTTAATTAAAATCAATTAGGCGCACACACAAAAAGTAACGCACGCAGAGAGAACACACCATTCAAATTTCAGACTATCATAACACAAACAGACAGTTGATCAAATTCCGCGCTTAACCTGTGGTGCATACACCACAACCCATGGACATAATTGCCCTAATTGGAAATAAGAGCAGCGGCAACAACAGCAGCAGCACCCAAGCAGCGGCTCCACTAGCATGGCACAATTTACGCTGTGAGTAGACAAGTAGGAAAGCTAGGCTCTTTTAGCACAGAGTCCATTACGAAGCGAGTAGGCGACGGCACGGATAGCGATTGCTGTTGCCGGGGCCTACCTAAGAGGGTGCGCTAATATATCTATTTGTATTGTATATATGTATCTATATACATATATAGAGACAACTTTGTTAATCTATTGAAGTCGTAATATACGACGCGTCGTAATATTATGCAAGTGAAATGGCTGCCGTCGCCTACTAATACATAATGATCTACACACACACGTTTTAAATTAATTTTTACATATCTTTTGGTTATTGGGTGTCTGCTGCCTATAGCTACAATAAACATAATGCTCCGCCCAACAACGATATCATTACACGCGTCGACTGCGACTGCGAGCATGTGCCTCTGTGTTCGGTTAATGATGTCCAGCTAAGGTTCTTAGTGCCTGATGACTTAACGGAGGTAAGTATGCACACCTGTTAAAGAATATACTTATTGAAATTACAATTTATTCAAGGTTCGCACGCTGTGCCAAGAATGGTTTCCAATCGATTATCCACTGTCATGGTACGAGGATATTACCTCAAGCTCGCGCTTCTTTGCGCTAGCCGCTGTTTATAATCTGGCCATAATTGGTTTAATTGTTGCTGAAATCAAACCGTATAGAAATGTTAATAAGGAGGTAATAGCCAATATCAGTGATAGTGATGAGTTTTACACGAGGTTGAGCGGTTTTCCCATGCAGGACAAAGGCATATTGCCGGACTCGATGGGTCGTACCGCTGATGTGGGCTACATATTATCGCTGGGTGTTCATCGTTCCCATCGTCGGAATGGCATCGGTTCGCTGCTACTGGACGCACTGATGAACCATTTGACGACAGTAGAAAGACATGCGGTGAAGGCAATCTTCCTGCACACGCTGACCACAAATCAACCTGCCATATTTTTCTACGAGAAAAGAAGGTAACCCACTTCCATTAACTCACAGTGCATATAGATAATAGCCCTATATTGCTATTGCTTTGCGTGTTTTTAGCTAATTAACGGTCATTCCTTTTTTTATTTTCTTGCAGATTTACGTTACATTCGTTCCTGCCCTACTACTATAATATACGAGGCAAGGGCAAGGACGGCTTTACGTACGTGACCTATATAAATGGCGGTCATCCACCTTGGACATTATTATATCCTTTTATCAAATGTCTTTACTGTATTATAGCTTGTATATTCTTGCTCACTGTTTCTTTACACTTTTGGTTGCCTTAACTCCTGCCACACAGATCACTTCAAGCACTACGCTTCCAAGCTTCGTCACACTGGTAGCCTTTGCGTGTGGATGGTATCCCGCGTGCAGCAAATGGTACGTTGGTTCTACCACAAGCTGCTAACACGCTTCAATGCTATTGAATGAGCCAAACGGACTGCAACCACTCCCCCAATCATTCTTCCGACACTCGAGAGAATTGTGTATGATAAGTGTGTTCTCACATATGCATCTGTAACATCTGTCACATCTGTCTAGCATCTTGAATCATCGTCCTGTTGATAACGACGTACACAACATTCATGTTAAATGTTAGGCGAGCCAAATCGTTTCGTTTTATACTTACAAACCAAGGAACAAAAATGTTGAAAGTTGTAAAATAGTCTTATATACATGTAAAATAACGTTTTTAAATATGTATATGTTCACTGCTGTAAATAGTCGTATCATCTTTTATTTCAAATGCTGTACAAAATATCTATAGCGCAAGTGATTTTTATACGTTCTTTTTTATATCCTTTTTTATTTAATCTATTTAATATTCTTTGTAGGTTTTTATCTTCTACGCACAAGACAGTCATTTTAGTTAGTTTAGCAAACAAACAAAAAACAAATCGAAAATACAAAGATGCTCATGTTTTAACGCTTTATGTATGAAAAGTGCAAAAAATAGCTTTGAGAACTGAATAATGAAACGAATAATATATGCATAAATCGAAATCCTACAAGCCCATTATTATTTTTTTTAATATGTTTCCTTTATAGTATTTTGTAAAAGTATTTTAATGCAAAATGTTTCAGAGCCGATTCATGTTATATTAGACACAATTTACTTAGCGAATTGTCATATTTTTAAATAAAAACTTGTAAAGTTAAAAAGATAAGCAGGCAATTTTGTCATATTTTCTTCAAGAATTTTGGGATTAGATAGTATAGATAACTATTTTGGTGAATTAAAAGTCACCTAAAATTAGTCACCTGTTGTCTGGCCTTGACAACAAGAGCGCGAGAAATTTAAAAGAATTTGCAAAGTGACTGTGAGTAGCGATGGTAAAAATGTCAAATAATTATATACAAGTGTGTCACATTTGTGGCATTTTTTATTTTAAGCATCTGGCAACGCTATACACATGTTTGTTAAATTAATCGACTGTTGGTTGTTATCGATAAATGTATATATGCGATATTTTTCGCTGCGCTATTGTGAACTTTAGAGTAGGTGAGGACCTGAACGTCAATTCAGTAGCATATATTTGTTGAAACATTATTACAAAAATGTTCTCAAGAGCCGCACTCCTTACAGGTAAGCGTAGAAATTGCAAAATTAGTTAAATAAACTATATACATTTGCGGTTTGTTTTCGCAAAGCGTATGTCTATATATCCAGACGACGACCGTGAAAATTGTTACGGCACCGCAAATTCTGCCATCGTGGTTTATGTAATCACGAGCATAATTCCCACAAGGAATATCAAAATTGATTTTTTTGGCAAATGATTGAATGCCAAATATTACTAATCCTGTTTCACTTGTTTTTTAGCCCAGCGCCCGTTGACTTTGGTGGCTAGTCGTTCGGCAGCTGCTGCCGCTGCTCAGCCAGCAGGTGGAGCTGTTGAGCGCCGTCAACGTCCCGAACATCCCGGCAAGGTGCGTTTGGGCTTCATTCCAGAGGAATGGTTCCAGTTCTTTTACAATAAGACTGGTGTCACCGGCCCCTACACATTCGGCGTGGGTCTGATCACCTATCTCTGCTCCAAGGAAATCTACGTCATGGAGCATGAATACTACAGCGGCTTGTCGCTTGGTATTATGGCCATTATTGCGGTCAAAAAATTGGGTCCAGTTATCGCTCGCTGGGCTGATGGTGAAATCGACGTAAGTTTGTACAACCCTGATATTGTATGAAATGCAGAAAAACTCTTTTTCTGTAGAAAATTGAATCTGAATGGAAAGAAGGTCGCGAAGCTGAGCTCAAGGTTCTTGCCGATGCCATTGAAGCCGAGAAGAAGGAGCAATGGCGCGCAGATGGTGCCCTCTTGTTGATGGAAGCCAAGAAGGAGAACATTGCCCTCCAGCTTGAGGCTGCCTTCCGTGAGCGTGCCATGAACGTGTATTCCGAGGTCAAGCGCCGCTTGGACTACCAGGTGGAGTGCCGTCATGTTGAGCGTCGTCTCAGCCAGAAGCATATGGTTAACTGGATTGTGGCCAGCGTGCTGTCCAGCATCTCACCCCAACAGGAGAAGGAGACGCTGAACAAGTGCATTGGCGATTTAACTGCTTTGGCTCTGCGTGTTAAGAACGACTAAACGACTCGACTTTTAGTTTGTTAAATTGTAAAATTACACAGAAATGCGAGACGCATAAAAAAATCGGAAATTTACCATAAAATGTAGAAACATTTAATACAATATCTGTCTTGGAATGAAATGCTGCTCCACCAAACGGCTGTGTTTTTGCCTTCAAGGGGGATCATCGAGGATCATCAAAGTACATTTATTGCAGCTTATCTTACTAATTACACACACTTATCAGTCTTCATCTGATCTAACGTCTAACGCGCGTCCGTCTTTCAGTCGCTCCTCGAACTCATCCACGACGTCTTGGTGGCGATCCTCCTGCAACGTCTGCACACAGTATTCAAATGCTGTGACTACGCAGAGGGGTTTCTCGCCGTCGTAGAAGCCGGTGCCCTCCCGCAGATAGGTCACGTGATTGGACAGCAGCCAACGTTCCAGCTGTGTGAAGCAGGCGCACTGCCAAGGATTGCCCTCGATGGCCACACGCTTCAGATTGGTAAGCGTGCCATTCAGATCCGGCAGAAACGTTAGCTTGTTGTTGTCGATGAGCAAATCGGAAACGCTGCTCAGGCTGTCCAGCACAACAGAGCTAATCTGGGTGAGCTCGTTGTTTCCCAAATGCAGTTTCTGCAGACGGCGCATGGGTGCAAACATGCGCACATCCAGGCTAGAGAGTTCGTTGTTGCCCAGCGACAGATACTCCACAAAGGGCAGCGAGGAGAAGGCCAGCGCATGCAAACGCTTCAAACTGTTGGCATTCAGATTCAGTTTACGCATACGCGACAGAGTTCGACTGCCGAACACCTGCTCGTGCAGGTACTCAATATTGTTGTGCGACAGGTCGAGTGTGTCCAGATCCTCGAGCGCTGCAAAGGTGTCAGGCTTGATCTCGATGATATCGTTGGACTGCAAATGTAGCTTGCGCAACGAGCGCAGACCCGCAAAGTGACCAGCACTCAGGCTGGCGATGCTATTGTGCGATATGTCCAGCAGCTGAAGTCTGTCCAGCTGTCGGAACTGGTTGTCAAAGAGCAGACGTATGTTGTTGCCGGATAAATCGAGTTGCTGCAGCGCAACCCCAGCAGAGCCGAAGACCTGTGGACGCAGTGCATCCAGCTCATTGTGCGAAAGATTCAAGGCACGCAGCTTAGCCAAGGGCTGAAAGGTGTCCCTGCCAATGGTCTTCAGAGCATTCTCAGCCAGCTGCAGCTCCAACAGTCCGGCTACTCCTCTGAAGCTTGTTGCATTAAGCTGTAAGCATTAGAAAGTCGTTTGGGAAATTGAGCTTTACTGAGAATACTTTGATATGATGGGATGATAATTGAAATTTAATGGTGTTGCATATCCATTATTAGCGGTATTTTTATAGGCAAATGCATTTCTAATGCTTGTAGATACTTCAGCCACAATTACTCAATATTGCGTAAAGCAAACAGGTTCTCATTTGCGACCTAAGCTTTAAGATACCTTAACCAAAGTCAAGAACTGATGATATTATGCCTCTTAAATATGAGCCAGAAATGGATTGTAGATATGTTGGTTAAGCTTAATAGAAATGGTTTATAGATGCGCTTTGTCTAGTTTGTTAGTAGGATATGCAAGCATCTGCTATAAGCTGGAACTGGTATAATGTAGTTGAGCATACTCTGCTAGACCCTAACCTGATGGAATTAGATTAAGTCGACTCGTGTCTATATGTAGAAGTGTAGATTAGATTAACATAGAAAGCAAACTGCGACCTCTCAGCTAAGCTCGTAATTTAAGTCGTATATGCAGAGCAGATGATGTCTTGCCTCGGGAGTCTTCATGCTCTGCTGCTTACTCACCTGGCTCAGCTGATTGTCGTTCAGGCTGAGCTGCTGCAGCTGGGGACAAAGACCGAGGCTTATATTTGTCAATTGATTGTGGCTCAGCTGCAGCTGCTGCAGCAGCGGCATGTGGGGCAGCTCGAGTTGCTGCAGCGCATTGTCTGAGAAATTTGCATAAATCAATTTGCGTAGCTTGTCAAAGAGGTCCTTTGTCAGAGCGGGCAGCTCATTGTGGCTGGCGTCGAGCAGCTGCAGCGACGAGTTGGCTGCAAAGTGCGTGGCCAACAGCTGCTCCAAGCGGCAGCCGCTGATATTCAGCTGCTCCAGTTGCGGCAGCCAGGAGAAGCCGCGTCGCTCCAGCTGCAGCTGCGGCACATGTGACAGATCCAAGTCCAGCAAGCCAGAGAGGCTTAGCGTGCTGGCAGCTGCAAAGCAGATTCTGCTGAGCTGCAGTTGTAGTTGCAATCGAAGACCTGACTTACCCATGCCCATGCTCAGCTCCGTGCGCTCATTCCTGATGCTCAGCCTGTGCAAGTTGTCTGTGGGAAAGTCTCGAACGTTTTTGAGATCCTTCAGGCTGCTCAGCTCGCGGCACTCGAAGCTGCGCCAGCCTTGCGTCTCGCATAGCTGACTCAGACCTAACGAAAGGCCGCAGCACAGTAGCCAGAAAACTGGACCAATGCGGGCAGGTTTCGCACTCAGCGACATTCCAGCTCGAATGCTCAACTGTGACTGAGTATCGGCCGTTGATAAGAGCGAACAAGGCTAAAGCCAGTTTTGTTGCCGGCAGCAGCAGCAGCAGCAGCAGCAACAGCTGATCCGGTTCTGAAACACATCTAGGCTGAGGTAGATGACTCAAGAGCTGCCTGCACAGACGAGTGCCACCTCGAGTGATGGCTGTCATGCATGCCTGATAAATTCCCCTAAAGGAAAACACACCCAATTCTATAGATAAATAGCATCTGGCTAGAACTCTATTTAATAAGCTTAGCATTGTTTACAATTGGATTATGTTTTCATATAAGTATTTTGGATAATTACGATTATTGTGCTCTTTAAGTATGTATATTTATATAGTTATAATATTTGTAGCATCAAGTAGTTCGTATACTATAATACAGTTGAAATAAACCACAAAGAAACTAATTACAGAAGGTACTAAAGCTTAGACTACAAATTAAATAACATAACTAACAATTAATTAAGTAATTAAGTATTAAACATAGAGCAGAAATATTCCATTAAATTACATGCATTTTTATCAGTTTTATATATATTTTAAAGACTTTTTGCATATTTATTTTGTACACAGAGATAAATGTAGGCAATTTTCTTATCAACTAGAAATGAATATAAGTTTAATTGAAGCTTTAAGTTTAATTTCTTTTACTGGTTTGGTAAGACTGCAAAAACAATTTGAGAGTATATCAATATATATATATATATATATGTATATGTATGTATGTGTGTGTGTGTGTATATGATGTATATTTAATCATATATTAAACTGTTCTATGCTCCTGTACGATGGAGTTTGTAGCTTATTGCCTAAGCGCCTGCTGACACTTGTGCGCATTTCTTGTCCTGTATTTTTATAGGGTATCTGGTATTCCGGGGCTGCTTGCAGTGTAGGGTATCTAAATCAGACTATAGTTACGGTTGGGTTTGTCATCTTGTTGCTGTTGTACAACGGCTGATAGTGGGCGCCCGGCAACGCGCTGTTCGCTCCGCTCTGGCAGCCATTCAGGTAGTGCGTCTTGACGCCATTTTGTTGTGATGGCGGCGTCGCTGCCTTGTGGCAGCCGCCATTTTGTTGCGGCAACGGCTCACCAATCAGCGTTATACGCACCGGCTTATGGACCACTGCAGGCGCAACTGTCTCAGCTCCATCCCAGCCGATGGAGGCGCGACGTGGATAGGCCGCGGCGGCCAGCTGCTGATTGTAGTTGGTCAACGTGGTCGAAATAATCGTGTGACGGCGCGTTTGGCTAAGAGCGCGACAATTGTTGTTGTTGTTGTTGTTGTTGTGATTGGTGCTGTGGCCATTGCATGATTGTGTCTGCTGCTGCTGCTGGGGCGGCTGCTGCTGCGGCTGTGGCTGGTGACGAATTATCGTGGTGGCTGCCAGCGTGGAGTCGTTGCAATGCAAATGGAGCGTCGGAAAGTGCGTGGTATAACTCGTATATTCAGGCTTACTTCTGCGAACATTAGAGATAAGACAGGGATTAGTCAGCAAAATATATATATTCTATCTATCGAGTCAGACTACTTTTTGGTATTTGTTAGTTTACAGCTTTACCTGGGAACTCTATTTAATTGCCGCATGCAATCGAAATAGTTCACAAACAGTGTTAAGTGTCAGGCAACAAATTTGTAAGGCTTACGGCTAAGATGGCTTAGACTTAACTTAATTTCTAATTATATCAAAGTTATTTGAGCTACCAAACAAACGAACCGAACTTTGTCATCATTTTTGTTATTTGTTTAGTATTTAATACATTTAAAGCTTTACTTCAGTAAGACTTAAGTCTAGTTTTGGTTCAGTTATAGATTTTAGTTTCTTATATGTGAGGCAAAGGTTCAAACTCCATTTGCTGTGACTGAAAAGCAGCCAAGCAGGCGACAATTATTATTAGCAAATATTAGACTGAGGCTCAAAACACAAGTAATAAAATTTAGTCTAAAGTTCGAGTTACGTTTGCTTAGTATTCAATGCAGCTAAAGCTAGTCCAAGAGTTCGAATCCTGTTTTAGTATTTAGTTAAGTATTTGATACAGTTAAAGCTCAGCTTCGTTATTCTATATTCAGGTGCAGGTGTTACAATTATCAAGACAGTTGTAGCTTAGGTGTAGTATACATAAGAGATTGATTGCGCAGAGCACTATAATGGCTAAAATGAAATCACAAAATAGTACCTGTTGCTCCCCAAACTGTAGTCTATATATATATGCATATAGTTGGATAGATAGATAGAGGCAGCATAGTGGGATGATATAGGTATATATATATATATATATATAGGTATATAAAGAGTGGTTAATCAGATGTATTAGGCAGTTACGAATAGTTAGATAATGGGCACAAGCTACGTACAAAAATGAAGTAAGTGAGTGCAACAGCAACTGCTGCTGCTGTGGCTGCTACTTGTTGCAAGCTGGCCAAATTGGGCCGCTGCCATTACAATTTGTGGCCATTAGCGTCAAGAGGCAGCGACTGATTTGCATGTTGCCGCAAGCCGAAAAGCTCAGCGTTGCATGAAAAGCAGCCGTCAGCCGCGGCAGCCGCAGCTGCAATTTGCTTCAGTTTAGTTGCAACAAAATACAAAACATAAAAACTAATTTGAAAATAAATTAAGAAATTTAAGAATAAATCGCTGATGAACGTTTGCCTACCTGGACAAACCCTCCGCACCAATGGCAAGTGGACGTGTCTGTGAAAGTGGAATTGGAAATGTTTTCAATAACTTTCGGTTAGTCAATGTTGTGCACACACACGCACACACACACACGCACACACACACACACATATAGTACTATATAAGCTAGGCATTGGAGTGCTGCACTCACCCGCTCCGTTTGGGTGGCCATGCTGATGCGTTCCTTGTTGGCCTGGTCCCCCTCTGTGGCCTGTCGCTTCTCCGCCTCCAGCTGCTCAATGAGATCGCGCTGCAGGCGTATGGTGCGATCACGATCGTCCACTTGACCCTGTTTAAAGAAACACACACACGCACACACCCAGCCAAGTTGTGGCAATTGTTAGTTTTGTGCTTGAGCTTAAGCAGAGGCCACTAAATTAGATATTCATGTTCACAAACTAAGCCAGAGAGTGTGTGTTTCGTTCAAGGCATTCGCAAAAGAGTTGCACAAATACGAAGTTTACACTATCCATCAACGTACACAGCCAAGCTCCAAATTCCGAACAAAAAACGCTTTTTAAAAATTGCTAAATTGCACAGTATTTCAATTGCCAAGCATTCCAGCTACGTTTTTTTTTGTTTGTATTTTTTTAGGAATTTATTGCCCAGTTAAGTTTTTTATGTTCAAAACCTAAACTAGCCGCAAGTCTAAAGCGAAACATAAAAAAAAAACATAATTATACAGGTTTACAATTGATAATTGGGCTCAAGTTTTCAAAAGCTGTTTCTAGTTACAATTGTGTTTCAGATTCCAGTGGACCGCTAAGAGAACTGGAATCTAATATACGAAACTATTCGACTTTAAATTTTTATCTTTTTAGATTTACTTTTAGCAATCTATAGCTCTATATCTCTATATCTGTATAACTCTTTTCATAGATTATTTGTCCAATGTTTTCTCAGCTTTTTTAGAGTCACTTTCATGAGTTCAACCTAAGCATAGGGCACTTTTTTCATTTTAATTGCATTTCGGATTTCATATATATACAATCAAATATTTGATGAGATTTTTCTTGAAGAAACCATATTTAATTGCATTTCATAACTAAATTAAATGAAAAGAACATTTTCTCAGTTTCTAATGGTCTTTAATTGTTTCAATTTAAATGCTTTATTTTTAAATGTGAAATTTTTAATTGTTTCATTTTCAATTGTTTTTTTTTTCAAATGATTAATTTCAATAATTTTCAAATGTTTCATTTTTAATTGTTTAACGTCAAATATATCATGTTTCATTTTCAAGTATTTCATATTAAAATGTTTTACCTTCACATGTTTCATTTTCAAATGTTCCATTTTCAAATGTTCCACTTTCAAATGTTTATCATTTATCATTTCATGTTTCATTTTCAAGTTTTTCATATTCAAATGTTTTACCTTCACATGTTTCATTTTCAAATGTTTAATGTTCAAGTATTCTATCTTAAAATGTTTAATTTCAATTGTATCATTTCATGTTTCATTTTCAAGTTTTTCATATTAAAATGTTTTACCTTCACATGTTTCATTTTCAAATGTTCCATTTTCAAATGTTCCACTTTCAAATGTTTATCATTTATCATTTCATGTTTCATTTTCAAGTTTTTCATATTCAAATGTTTTACCTTCACATGTTTCATTTTCAAATGTTCCATTTTCAAATGTTTAATTTTCAAGTGTTTCATTTTCAAATGATTAATTTCAATTGTATCATTTCATGTTTCATTTTCAAGTTTTTCATTTTTAAATGTTTTACTTTCACATGTTTCATTTTGTGTTTAGTTTTCAAGTGTTCCATTGCCAAATGCTTCATCTTCATCCTTTTTATTATAAAAGGTTTAATTTGCAAATGTTTCGTTTTCAATTCTTTCTTTTCTAATGCTTCATTAATCTCTAACACCCATGACATTTGCCCTTACAATTCACTTCTTTTGCAACTAGAAACAGTTTCCTTTCTATATAAATTTCCCAAATTTCGGAATTTAGAGCATGGTAAAGAGACAACAGCTAATAATGTGTGTGTTGTAACTGTATAATTGAACTATCTAGATGTAGCTAGTTATAAGAGTAAGAGTAAGAGTAAGAGTAAGAGTAAGAGTATTTGAGAGTGCGTGTTTGAATTTTGTACTCATAGCAAATATACAAGACAAATGTATATATATATATGGAATATAGATAACTAAGTATAATAAGCATAAAGTTTGTATGTTTTGTCTTCTTTTGTATGTGACATGCCAGAGTGGAAACATTTATATAGTAAAGAAAACAACAGCAATTCTATATATTGTTAAATTGAATTGTTCCTGTTCAGGGTGACTGCTTCGTATATATGGGCTTAGATAGGAAAGCAATAAGGTGAGCTTCGGATACTCTCAGACTGAGTTGGTTTTGTTGTGGTACGAGCAAACGAAATGCAAAAGAACGTGCAAATACCTGAAGGTAAACCACCTGTCTACGTAGATCCGATAGCTCCTGCAGTGGATCCTCCGTGGTGGACGAGGTCAGGCTGGCCAGGTCGATGTCATTTAGCTGCTTGCTATCCAGTCCACAGGCAGCGAACAGCTGCACATTGTCATTCTCGAAGGGATTTAGGGTCTCCGTCTGACGAGAAGAGGGAATAAGGAAAACCAATGAGCAAACATTTCCCATGCAATGTTTATGAGCTGAGAAAATTGATGTGTGAAAACTCAAAAAAGAAAATGACAAAACCTACCCGGTTGGAGCCAAATTCAGCATCCTGTGCAGGTGTGAGTGTGTGTTTGTGTGTGTGTGTGTGGATATTTGATGTGTGTGCAAAAGAAAATTGAAAATGAAAATGGAAATGGAAAATGAATGCAAGCGAAAACACGGAGTCACCCACCTCCTGTAGGATGCGACGTAGGCGCAGCAGCTGCTTCTTGAACTGCAGCACATCCTGAATCATGGCATTCCTGAAGGACTTGTCATACAACATCAGATCGTCCGATGAGCTGTGCAGCTCCGCGTTGCCAGCCAGACCACCTGCTGCACGTCTCGAGCTGGAGGCAGATGTTGCACCTAGCTGATGCTGATGCTGCTGCTGGCGTCGCTGCAAGCTGGACGTCGACGAGGCGGTGGAGGCGCGCGAGGCAGCGGTGCTGCGCTTGCGGCTGGAAGCGCCGCTGTGCGTGGAGCGCAAACTGTTGTCCGAGTCGTTGCCAGTTAGCTGCTGGTCCTGCAGCCGGGAGCGATTCAGCAGGCGTGTGGCGCGAGCAGGCAGCTTGGCGCTGTGAAACAAGTAGCAATTAGAGCGAGGATTAGAGAGCGAAGTTGACTGGAACCTGAGATATGTGGCATTGGCTGTGGGCGCACTGCTGGGCAGAAAGTGAAATTGCGGGCTGTGGGCGTGGTGCTGGCTGCAGCTGAGCTGCTTTATGCCCAGAGGCGAGCTGTTGCGCTGCTGACTGGAGGGCAGAAACCTATTCTCCGAGGTCTTCAGGTCCGTGCGCACCCGTCGCACGCAGCTGGGCGAGGATGTGGCTGCACTGCTGGACATGCTGAAGCGACTGGTCGCATCGATGTTTCTACTTTTCTAATTTGTTGTTGTCAGGACGACGATGACGATGACACAATCGGGACATGCGCAGTGCGCCACAAACAGCTGACAGCGGAGAGTTCAGCGTGTGCCGAGTGGAGAATGGGGACTGGAGACTAGGCTGTTCCTTAAGGCGGCCACAGTTCGTTTTATATCAATTATTTAGCTTTAATTAAACGCGAACGCAATGAAAGCGAAAAGGCATTCATTGATTAGAGCAGGTGTTGGCGGCAGGGGCCGGGCAATTAAGTGCGCCAGCCACATGCTGGGAAGCTGCTGCGCTGCCAGCCGAAATAAGTTACGTGAAGCCAAAGCATGGCTGCTGCTGCTGCTGCTGCTGGTGAAAGTCAACTGTTGCGTGTTGCAGCTGGCGATAGGGCTGAGGGGGAGGCGCGCTGTTGCTGTTGTAGACAGCTCTTACACATGCACGCTTGTTAAATATTTCACGGCATAATTTATACAAGCTATTCAATCGAAACAAATGCCAATAAATACTCTATGAAAAGCAATTCGCATTTGTTGGTCAGGGGCAGGGGCAGGGGCAGGGGCACAGGCTGAACCAGAAAAGGTCGCCTCATCTTGGCTTCAAGCATAATTTTAATGGTTTTTTAATGCCAGTTCGCATCACACTTAACTAACTCACGTCTTATGGCCAATTGGCACGCCACAAATATATATATAGACATATATATATATATCTTAGCGAGCTATAAAACAAATTGTTTGCATTTTTATTTGACTTTCACAGCGCACAGCGCGAACTTAATTATTTTGAATGCAAAAAACAAAACAAATGACAAAAGTGCTACGTAATTGCCCAAGACAATGGGAACAAAATTCACTTAAAGCTGGCAAAAAAAAAACTTTAGCTTAGCGAAAAACTTTAGTTGATGTTCATCAAAAATTAGATTTCATGGTTTTTCCATTTTCAGCTGAAGAAGAGCTCAGACATTGCCTGTTGGCAAAAGAAAAAGAAGTTCAATTGCGATAAACATGCTTTCAGCTTTATGATCCCTTTAATTTGAATATAATGACATTCTAATGTCAAGAAGAAGAGCTGAGCAAAGCCAAAAGTAGGTTAAAGAGAAAGAAGCCACCGAAGCCAAGTTGTGAAGCATCGATTGGGGCACAGCAGAAGTGAAGAGTGAAGCTTTATAGAGTGGATATATATAGGTTGTATATGTGTAGCTATGCTGAGGCTTGGGAGTTTATGTAGCTTTGAAAACATTCTCCATGTGATGTAGAGCCAAAATATTGCTAGCTCCCTGGGTTCAGCAGAGGGCATAGATAATGAACAATATTACATGCCCCTTGACATCTATCTACATTTATAGCAGGTAAGGCTTCGTAGCCCGCACTTGTGGCTTTTAAGTATTTTGCAAAGCATGCGGGGCCCAAGTCTCAGACAGGCTTGACAATAGATTCTAGAGCCGCGTCTTGCCTATTTAGTCAGCCAGCTAAGCCCACTTGGATAACTTAAGAAAGGAGCTCTGATCTGTATAACTAATTTGTGCTTATAGACTTGGCTAAAATGCAGTTTGAGTCTCATAATAGCAGGATCTATTCTATCCTTAGCTATACTCTGCCTCCCTTTATTAGACTCTGTCTGTCTCTTTCTCTTTGTATCTCTGTCTTCAACTCTCTTCCTTTTTCTCTCTGCCCATAGCTATTTCTATTTGTCTGCTCTTGCTCTCTGTCTTCCTTTCCCTCTCTCTCAATCCTTCTTTCTTTTATTCTCATTTTTCCTCTCTTATCTCTCCCCATCCAGAGAGAGATCTATTTCCTGTTCTGTTTCTCTCCCATGTCCTCTATAACTCCCCCTCTAAGTGCCTCTCCTTTGTTCTAGCTTTCTCATTCTATATATCTCTTCCCATCCAAAGAGAGCGGGAGAGAGAGAGAGAGAGATCTATTTCCTGTTCTGTTTCTCTCCCATGTCCTCTATAGCTCCCCTCCTTTGCTCTCTCTCCCGCCTTGGCTCTCTCATTCTCGCTCCAGCCTTTCCCCAGCTATGTCTATCTTTCTATATCTATCTCTTTAATGATATGAACTGATATTTCTCTCTTCTGCAGGCATATTTGCATACAGATTGCTGCCGTTGGCGCAGACCCACATTTAGTCGAGGCAGCTTTCATATGCAAATTTCAGAGAAGTCAATACAAACATTCATAATTTCGCACGCTAACTGGAGGGCATTGTAGGCAGCAGATATACATAGTATATAGTCTATATATATATAGATATCTACCTGCCTCATATGGTACTTAAGCATGCAGAAATGAACTGTGAAAAAGAAGTCTGAAATCAAAACAATGCCGAGCACTTTGCACAACTGCACCGGAAGTTTCAAGAGTGGATATTTATGTGAGTATATATGAGTGTGTGTGTGTGTGTGTGTGCGTGTGTGTGCGCCATGTGGTACAACAAAACGTTCGTCATTGCGACAGTGGCAGCTAATGGAGTTTGCAATCGGCGCACCGAGCGTCGAGTCTTAGAGTCGCCTAGACTTAGCTCTGTGTGTGGAGTCTCCTATTTAGTCGAGGCACATGCCGGAGGCAAGTGTCGCCGTTGGGGTCGTTGTGGCAGTTGCAGCAGCAACCGCAATTGTCAATTGCAACTGCCACTGGCTCTGCAACCGTTAGCCGACAACTGCCAACGCTGACAAGCAAAAACAGAAACAGTTTACAGAGGCGTCGACAAGCGCTTCATGTGGAGCCTAACGGCACTTATCAATTTGTTTGGTGAAACGTCATTTGTCATAGGCGCGGAAGTGCAGCGACTGTCGACACTGGCAGGGGGCAGCCACAAAGGGCGCTTCATTAGAGACGCCACGAACTTCCAACTGCCAACTGCCAACTGGCGACTGGCCGGCGTAATGGTAATAAGCATAAAAAAATCACAGCATACACAGCATTCTCACACACACACTGGGAGTCAAGGTAAATCTGTGCTGAGAATCCGAATCCGAATCCGGTGTTGTTGTATGTATCTTGTAGCTTGTGGCTTGTATCTTGTGGCATGCCAGCAAAGTTTTGTCTGCGCAGCTAAAGATGATGATGACGATGAGGCGATGAGGCGATGAGGCTGGCTGGCGATGATCAACGCCGACTGCCAGGTAGACAGAGGAAGAGGCGGCGCTGACGACGGACAGACAAACAGTGAGAGAGCGAGACGAAAAGACACACAGACAGACAGGCAGGTAGGCAGGTAAGTTGCTTGATTGGTAGCTACATAGATACACTTTAAGAAAATGCGTTCGTCTTTAATAACATATTGAAACAGCTATGAGCTGAGCCACAACGTGTGGCACAACAAATTTGCTCTCTTCATGCATTAACTTTTGAGCTAGCTCAGCTTTTCTCTGAGTGTAGCTGTATCCGCATCTGTATCTGTATTTGCACTCAATGGCATTTTGTGGTCAACGGTCTCACATTCTGTTGAATTATGCATGTCCAAAGCTGAGAGCTCTAAGTACGCACAGCCAGCGCACTTAGAAGCCCCTCAGCTGGCTGGCTGACTGGCCAGAACGTTCACAGCTCAGGGCCGACGTGCCACAAAAGGCAGCAACTGGCAACAGGAACTACAACTGAACTTGAAGCGTCAACGGCCATAAACGCAGCTCGGTTTACTTGGCCAACACTTGCTGCGCTGCTCTTCTTTCTTTTGGTTTGTTGTAATTATTTATGGGCATCAAATTGCAGCGAATTTGTCGAAATGCATTTGCATGTGACACACTTTCCCTCTGTCTGCCATTGTTTTTCCTATTGTTTTCCGCTGCGTATCAGATTACGCAAATAACAACAAAAAGGGGGCGGAAATTGACACCCGCTCGTTTGGCCAAGTTGCCGGCCCGTTGACCGGGCTGCAACCACTTGGCCAACAACATGAATGGCTGCTGGCTACCAAATATAAGTTTTTGTGGTTTCGTCTTACAGCTGAGTCGCTTCATCATTTTGCATAATTTTTTACCTTTGTCTTTGCTATGCGCTCCTCAGCAGGAAACGGGGTATATTGGTTAGGGCTAGAGATTGAGCTGAGACTTTGTATGGGTGAGCGGGTATTTCGGGTAGATTGAGTGCAGCAGGCATATCGTATGATGTATACAATGTACACATTACATATATATATATATATATATATCTATCATTAATCTAGCAACCAAGCTATATCTATCTGTCTATATATACCTTTATATGTATTTATGTATCTTTGTATCTATCTATCTGTCTTTATATATTTATATCTGAGTCTATATGTATCTCTATGCCTCTTCGTTTCTTTGCATCTCTCAATATCATCCATCCACCTTCATCTGTTCATATCTCTGTATAACTCCACATCTCTTCATTTCTACATCAACTGCATCTAATACATTTCCACAGCCAAGAAATTGTTCTTTTGATTAACTTGATGGATCTCCTGCTGCTGATTGTACAATGAGTTGGATGCGCACAAATGAGCTTCATCAATAACAAGATTTATCAAGATCTGTTAAGATCTATTAATTATGAATCCTACTTGAAGTTCTTCTTGTAGCGAGTGTGAGGCAGTCAGGCGCATTCTACTACAACCTGCCTTCCTTTATTTTTGTATTTGTTGCAACATTTTTCTACTCACATTTTGAGCAAACCAGTTGCCAGTTGGCAAATTGGTTTTTATTTTCGATTTTTTTTTTTTAAATAGTTTTGGTTTTTATGTTTATTTTTATTTTTGTTTTCTGCGCAAAATTCACACAAAAAGCATTGACACTTGTGCCTGCGGCGCGTCTTTATAATAAATGCTGCCCGATTTTTATTAACATTTTTTGTTGGAGTTGCTGTTGGTGTCGGCTTTGTATTTGTGGCATGAAAAAGGCAACAGTGCGTATCGACAGCGGCGTCCGCGAGGGCGGTCTATTCGGTCACTGGCTCTTGTTTTTTATGTTTTTCATTTAAGTTTTATTTTCTTTTTTCCTATTTTTATTTTATTTTATTTTATTTTTGCTTTGGTTATTAAAAACGACTCCCACGCAGCAGCGCGCACTGATTAGCTTTTATATGCTGGTTCACTTTAAGGTAATCTAAGGTAAACAATATATATTTCGTCAATTGATTCACAGCAGTTGCCGCAGCCGACCGTATCGAACCGTTGCGAACGCTTTGAGATCTTGTTTAATACTGAAGTTTCGTTTGAAGTTGGCGTTGCGAGCGTCAAGGCTGACGGAATGTGGGAAACGGAACGGCACAGTGGAACGAGTTGTGATTGTAACTGGTGTAAATTGACAAGTGCTTATGAAGCTTTATCGTTCAAGCTTATTTTGCATTTGGAAAAATATATATTTAATGCTTTTAAGTATGTGCAACATTTAGAACATTTTCAGTTGTTTATATATATCTGAGATGCAGCTATATGTAAACTTTATTTATGCTCGAATATTTTCTAGTTTCTCTTCAGAAATTTCTATGCATTGTAAAATCTTCTATATAGTTTTCTGACAACACTTATGTTTTAAATAAATGCTTTAAGGAATTAAGGAATTGATGTAAACTAAGAAAATGTCAAATATTTTTCTATTCCTTCTATGAACATAGACTAGACCAACGATGCGCAGTAAACTGTATTCCAATAGCATTCAGTTGTATTCCCAAATATTTTTCTCTTTAATATGAACTTTGTTTATATTGCACTCAGCAACTTCTAGCTAAAGTATTTCCCACTTCAGCCATCCTTGCTCTGGCTGCCAAGACATTCCACATTTGTTATTAATTTGAATAATCAACCTGCCGACAGTTGCTCCATTTCATATTAATCAATAGTCATTAGAATTTACTATGCCAATTATAGGCTCGCAATGTACGCACACTTTTATATCGATTTCGTGGCAGTGTGCGCATTCCAAGCTTCGATTCCAGAACGTTTCGCTTGTTAGTGTTGTTGCAATGAAAGCTCTTTGCGTGAGTCTTTGCCGTTAGAATAGAAAGCTTTCTACTCGCTTGCAAGATAACCACCATCAAGTCGTAATAAAGATCACAGTGCACTGACAGCTGCAATTGGCAGTAGTTTGGCAGCAAGTTATGCAGCAGCTTTGTTGGTGCTGCTGCTGCTGCTGCTATGACTCATGGCATTTAGCGAGTGGGTTACACACGTAGTTGTTGGCCCAAGGTTAAGTCACAAAGTGTTTGCGTGTGTGTGGGTTGTATATGCTTTGCATATGAATTATGTTTGCTCAAACGATTAAAAGATTTACAGATTTCAGCTGCGCAGCTGTGGGCCGCCGACTCTGCTTGCTTGGCCATTTTCTTTGACAATTTATGGGGACATTCACCAATGCATTATGAAAGGCAATCCCCAGGCGCATGCGTATGGAGCCACGATCGGCGGCAGCAACGCCAACAACAGCTCAGTTATTTTTCGCTGCTTTTCCAGCGAGCAGGTCGGAACAGGTTCACATGGCCAGACAATTGATTTTTCCTTTGCCAGTGCAATAAAGCCGCAACAGAAGAGAGCGAAGCGAACAAAAAAAAAATACATTTTAACTTTGGCTGGAACCAGAAACAACTTTTCGTTGTCGCTGACGTTGTCGTGCCGTTGCCGGTTGTTGTTGTTGTTGTGTTGCCATGACAAAAGAATGCGGCACTCGCCATCAAGTCTCAGTCCAAAGTCAAAATGTTATCTTAACTACGGCCACGATTTGGCCAGGCCAGGCCGGGCCAGAGCCCGACCAGGCACAGGCACCGGCACAGGCGCTCGTTGGCAAATGCCAAGTGCCGTTGCCTCTTGGCTCTTGGCTCTGTCTTTGGCTTTGGCTTTGACGCTGTCGTTGGCCAATTGCCCCACCGCTCACTTCTCTCGCCCTCTAGCCACATTTCGTGGTAGCAGGCGCTTAAGCATTGCAATTGAGAGCGCCAATTGGTAACACGGCAATGGGAACGACCTTTTGGCCAACTCAACTCAACTCAACTCAACTCAGCTAACAACAACTTTAAATCTCAACCTGTCCCATTGTCTGCCTGTCTAATGTTTTGGGCTAATTTCAATTTTCAATCGACCAAGTGCCTGCGGCACAGACCTGCAATGCCAATGCGCTGAGCTGGCAAAGCTGCACTGACTGCAGCTATTAACCCTACAAAGGCGGAGGATTTGCGAATGGCAAATATGTGCATGAATGGCTGATGGAAGTGAAGCTATGTGGATATCTTTAAAGTGAGAAAGATGAGGTGGAAGGGGGTATAGAAGGATATAGGCAGGTTGGGAAAAGAAGAGAGAGTGAAGCTGGGAGAGGCAGGAGATATAGAAAGATAGTGACAGATTGAGAGGGAGAGACTGAAGAGAGAGAGAGAGAGAGAGAGAGAGAGAGAGAGAGAGATAGAGAGAGAGAAGCTAAGCAAGACAGGAGATATAGAAAGATTGTGATAGATTGAGAGAGAGAGACTGAAGAGGGAGATAGAGAGAGACAGAGCGAATCTAAGCGAGTCTGGAGATATAGAAAGATAATGATAGATTGAGAGAGAGAGAGAGAGATAAGCTAAGCGAGGCAGGAGATGGAGAGACAGAGGAAGGTAGACAAGGATAGAGTTGCAGATAGATTAGGATATGGCAGAGAAAGAGAGACATATGATAGGGAAATGAGAGATAGAGAGAGATGGATAGAGAGAGGGAGATAGAAAGAGAGATACAGGGAGATAGAGGAAGGGAGGAAGATAGAGTAGCAGTTAGATAAGGCGAGACAGAGAAGGTGAGACATATGTTAGGAAAATGAGAGATGGAGAGAGATGGATAGAGAGAGGGAGAGAGAAAGAGGGATAGATATATAGATATAGAGAGAGATAGAGGTAGGGATGAACATAGAGTTGCAAGCAAAGAAAGCGAGACATATATTTGGGAAGCGAGAGATAGGAAGACAGAGATAGACAGAGAGAGAGAGAGGTAAGTTATAGTTTTCAGAGGTCAAATTCCAGCATTTATGAAGCCCAATCGAAAAAAGTTTTTCTAAAAACATTTTACACAAATTTTCTTTCAGAATTTTGCTCTTGAGACCACTTGAAGTTAGCAAAGAAAAAACCCAAAAGCTTTCTAGTGTTAAAGTGAAGTCAAGATGCTGCCTGGCGAACAGACAAAGAGCGAGAGAGAGTGAGAGCGAGAGAGAGATAGCGCAAAGGAAGGTGTGACAAAGGAGGCAAAAGCGGGCAGTTTGAGGCTGATTGATTAGGCAGAAGTTGTACTGCTTTCGAGTGGTTGGGAGTGGTGCTGGCAATGGGAAAGGGATTGCAAATGCTGGCCATGTGCCAGCTGAGCTAATAAAAAACACAAGTCGGAGCAAAAGTCAGAAGCGAGCAGCTGCATTTGGGCATATTGGCAGCGTGCCCGACAGCCAATTGCATTAGTTGAATAATGGAAAAGTTTTTGGGTGGGGCCAGCTGTGGGAAAGTGGTCAAGGTGCGGACTCACCTGATGCGCTCCCTGGGAGTGGGTGCAGTGCGCTGCATGCGGGCGCGCAGCAGGCTGTTCAGCTCCTTCATGACATCGCTGCCCTTGCAGTCCAGCTGGGCGAGCAGTTCCGCCTCGGTCTCGGCCTGGTCGGCCTCGAGATCTGCGCTGAGCTTGTGCAAGTCGGAGCCGCTGCGACTGCGCACCGAGACGGGTCGATCGATGGAGTCCACGCTGCTGTTCATATCGAAGTCCATCATCAAGTCGTCAGAGCAGATGGACTCGCAGGGCGACAACGTGTCCAGGGACTCGGCGCTCTCGAGCACCGCCCGTCGCACCGCTGCTGGAGTTCGTAGACTCAGCTCAATAGCCTGCTGCAGCGCTGTGCGCGCCTTCGACTGGCTTTTGAGCGAACGCATCGATCCGGTTGTGTGGGTCTCCATCAGTGTGGGAGTGTCGGTGGCATGCTCCGGTGCCTCGCTGTTGCACAGCAGCGCCGGCTGATCGGCAATCTCGTCATCGATCAGATTGCCGCAGTCCGAGCCCAGCGACAGCGAGTGGGAGGCGTGCGTGGGCGTGCCCGGTGAGACGGGACTGTGACTAGCTGGATCCAGTTCCAGCTCCAGCACCGGCGAAATATCATCAATGTCCACATCGTTCACGCGCTGCTGCAGCTCGGCATTCAGCTTGTGCTTCTTGAGCTTGCCGCCCGCCTCCTCCGACTCCTCGGTGCTGCTCACCAGGCTGTCCGTGGGCGACGTCTCGTCATCCAGCAGCAAGCAGCTGCTATTTGCCAGCGCCAGCTCCGCAAACTTCGATTCATTGAGCGCATTGTTAAAGGAGCGCGGACGCTCGTTGGGCAGCCGCACCACGATCGCCTCCCGATTGTCCACAATGTGCATGTTGAGCAAGTGTTCCTGTCCAGCTGCGCCGCTGCCGTTGGCCTGGCCAGCCGCTTCCGTCATTGAAGCTGCGGGAAAGGAGAAGCAATGTTAGCTGCGGGATTTTAGATCTGGTTACAGGGTATTCGTTGGTGCGGCTACTCACACAACGTGCTGAATTGCATCTCCGTATTGATGAGACTGATGTCGTCTAGGCCCAGGGACATGTCCTCCGCCTTGGTGGGCGCCTGTGTGTCGCTGCTCGTGAGGCTCATGCTGCTGCAGTCCTTGGCTGCCAGAGACTCGCCCGCCTGGCAACGCCAGGACATGGAGGACGTGTGGCTGTGGCTCTGCTGTTTGGCACTCTTCTCGGAGGTGGACGAGTCCAGGTAGAGCTTCTCCTCGTCCACGTTCTCGCTGTCATCGGAGCCACTGGCCTTGGGCTTGGGCGGTGTCTCCGGCGTTTGGCTGGCATTGGCGTCCTGCTCGGCAGTCGCCTGTCGGCGCTCGTAGCTCTCGCGGCTGAGCACTGTATTGGAGCGTACGAGTCCGAGCAGCGGCAGCGGCGTCGTCTGGCTGTTGTCCGTGGGCAGCTTGGGCAGCGCCAAGGTCTCCACAAACGAGTTGGACTCACTCGAGGGCGGATCGTCCACGTCGCGCACCTCGAATGTGTGTCGGCCGCTCATGACCATCTGCAGATTGCGCGGCCGGCTGCGACTGCGCTTCGAGCTGGACGCACTGCCGCCGGAGCTGCTGCCGGAGTCAACGGCCATGTCCATGCTGGCAATGCCCGAATCGGCGCTGATCTCGCGGCTGCCCGAGAAGCCGCGCCGGGTCGAATTGTTGGTCAGCTGCTTGACGCTCTTCTGGTCCAGCTGCCGGCTGCTGGGCTGTGCGTGTATCGAGGTCAACGGATGCTGCCTGGCGGAGCTGCTGGCCACGTCCTTGGCTCGAGCGCCCGTCGAGTGCGCCGGCACGGGGCTCTGCACGCTGCTGCTGGGCGTGGTGGGCGTGGTTGCCGTCAGACTAATGGCCACCGGATACTCGGGCCGTGGCAAGCTGACAGTTTGCAAGGTGAATTTGGCAAAGCTAGCCGGAGCAGCACGTGGCGTGGGTCGAACGCTGCAAGGGAGAATTCCAAATGGCGAATTGAAGAGATTTTTTCCCGTTTTACCAAGCGCTTCATTAGCTACTCACATCACATTGGCATGCATATTGGCCAGATTATTGTAGTTGTAGCGCGGCCGTGCGTTGGCTGCGCCGTTTGCCTCATCCGGAATCTCGCCAAAGAACTGACGGCGCTGATACTCGATGGTTGTGTTCTGGTTCAGATTGAACGTCAGCGTCTTGGGCTGGGCTATTTTTGGCTCGCCATCAATGCTGCGGCCCGCGTGTGCGCTCTTGGAGCGACGTTTCACTGTGGAGAGTAGCAGAGGGAGGGGCAGGGGGCATGGAGTGAGACGTTGGCATTGAGAGATGTGTCAAAGAGTTGCCACACGGCTGTTGCAACTTGCTCATGGCATGTGCAACGAGTCGAGGACACTCGGGTCGCCGGACTGCTCTGGCTACAGCAATCTCTTGGCTTATAGCTAGTCATATCAGTTGCTCCCTGAGCTAATCTACTTTGCAAGGGCATTTGCTGTGCGGCATGTGCCTCTACTTACGATTGCTCACCAGCACGTTGCTGGTGTTGTTGTTGTTGCTGTTGCTGTTGCTGTTGTTGTTGCTGTTGCTGTTGCTGTTGCTGTTGCTGTTGCAGTTGTTGTTCTGAGCGTTGGCCGTTGCCTCGTCGGCATCCTCGCTGCCGCTGGTCGTGTTTGTGGCCGTTGTGAGGCTTGCGGAGGCGGGGCGTGGCACGGCGCCGCGATAGCCAAAACGCTTGCCAGCCGCACCTGTGCGATTGGACGCATTTGTCTTTTGGGCCGCAACGCCCACTTTCTCGAACTGAACAGGAGCTGCGGCGGCAGAGCCAGTGTGATAAAAATGAAAGCAGTTAAGTTCGGCTGGCATGTTGACTTGTTATTAGGCAGCGTCCTAATTGGCGCAAATTAAAAAGCCATAACACGGGCCAAGGTGCGCTCATTACTCACCTGCATTGCCATTGTCGTCCTTTGTGTCTGTCTGTGGCGTTTCGCCGCCGCTGCTGCTGCCCTCGAGCAGTTTCTTGAACTTTTTGGGCGTACCATTGAGCTTCTTGCGAAAGCCAAAGGACATGGCGGTGCCTTTGGTGTGTGGCAGCTGCTGCTGTTCGCCCAGCTCCTGCTGGCGTCGGCCAGCCTTGCTGCCATGCTTCTTGCTCTCCGCTTGGCCCTGCGGGTGGAGTGGGAGAAAGTTGGGAAAGCAGGTTAAGCAGGCGATTAGCAGTGCGAAAACGGGTCAATAGAAGCGCAGAGCAGACAAAGCCTGCCACACAATTCAAATAAAACAATCACAGGATGTGGTCGGGTGTGTGGGTGGGTGGTTCAGTGTGTTGGTGTGCGAATCTAACTAGATGACTCATACAAAGCTATCTACAATATTGTATAGGAGCAGTGGGTGCATCTGCTGTGTGGCACAGTGTTTACCATGATGACTGCCTCGACTTCGGCGTCGACTGCTGCGTCCTCGTCGGCTGTGGCACGGCTGCTCGAGTTGTCTCTCTGCTGTTGCTGCTCCTCTGGCGCTAGTGCGTTGTCATCGATGTCAAAGTTGTCTTTGTGCAAATTTTTCTTTAGCTGTTGCTGCTCCTCGGCTGTTGGGTCCTCGTGTGCGGCTAATGTGACGACGACGAGGTTGTCGCATTCATCCATGTTGCACGTCGGCTGCAGCGGCACTCGCTAATGCCGCGCGTCTCCTTCTGCGTTTTGCCGCTACTTGAATGCCGAACGTGCGCCGTTTTGATACTTGCCACAGATACCAAAGCAAATGTTGCAAATGCCACTATCAAATCAATGTTCATCACACGGCCGCGCACCAAATTACGCCATTTATAATTGCACTTGAGGCAGGTACACAACTACAGTGACAGCTTCACTCGCAGTCACAATCTCAGCCACGCTCACGGAGCTGCTCTCTCTCTCTGTCTCTCTCTCTCACACTCTCTCGCTCTCCCTCTCTCACAGATACATAGACGAGAGTACACCCACGGGCGTACGGCAAGTTTTGAAGGTCCTTGAAAAAAGTTTCCTCTGCCGTTGTAACTGTTATTGTTGTTGCATCAATTTGTGCCACACTTGCCACACGCTTTTCTCGCACTGCCTCAAAGTATGCAATTTCTTTTGCTAATTTCTTTTTCAATTTAATTTGCAATTTCTTTTTTTTTATTTTTTTTCTGTTTTATCAGATTTTTGTTAAGTTTTTCACTTGCGTAGCAGCAGCACTCGGAAAATTGAATAGGCTGGCTGAAAGTTCTAGTTCGCCGTGGCCGTCTCGATTGAGTGTATGCCTTGCTCGCTGAACCGGAGCGGGGCTTGAGCGTGCGCATAGCCAACGAAGAACAAGTGGCTGCCTCAGCTAATAGCTGGGGGTGGCTTCACACTGGCGCCATCTAGTGTTCGCTTGTGTTTGCTTAGGGGTTGAATGGGACTATACGGTAAGTGGGTGTGTGTCGGGCAACGGTTTTTCAAATGCTCGTGGCCAACTGTTGTGTGAAGAAAGGTGACAGTTGGCATTGATAAGTCAGTGATTGGAGCAGGAGTCGGGCCAGCAAACAGTCAAAGCATCAGTTGAGAAATCAGTCAGAAGGTCAATCATATGGACAATCAGTATCATACTTATTCAATCATTTGGTCAGTCAATCATTTAGTTGAACTCTTCAGCCAGTTCTTGACACAATCAATCAGTCAAACAGTCAAAGCCCGGAAGGTCAGTTAGTTAATAATGCAGTCAATCAGTCAATCAGTTGAACAATCAGACAGTAAATTGGCCAATCAATCATCTATACAATGAATCAGTCAATCAGTCAATTCAACAGTTCCTTTATTATTTAGTCAGTCTCTCAATGAGTTCGTTTGTCGTAGTAGGTAAGTCTATCAATCAATCAATCAGTTGAACAATCAGACACTTAATTAGCTAGTCAATCATTTGTACAATTAATCAGTCAATCAGTTAGTTCAACAGTTCCTTTATTATTTAGTCAGTCTATCAATCAGTTCGTTTATTGTAGTAAATAAGTCTATTAATCAATCAATCAATCAATTGATCAATCAGACACTAAATTAGCTAGTCAATCATTTGTGCAATTCATCAGTCAATCAGTTAGTTCAACAGTTTCTTTATTATTTAGTCAGTTCGTTTATCAATCAATCAATCAATCAATCAATTAATCAATCAGACACTAACTTAGCTAATAAATTATTTATACAATTAATAAGTTCAACAGTTCCTCAGATAATCAAAGATTTGATTGATTAATCAGTCAATCAATCAGTTAGTTTATTGTAATATGTTAGTCAATCAATCAGTCAGCTAGGCTTTCAATCAGTTGGACTCTCAGTCACTTCGTTAGGCAGTCAGTCAATCAGTCGCTCTACGGTTGATAGGTAATTCAATTATTCAATCAAACAACTACACAGGAAATCAATCAATCGGTCCCTCAATCATATCATCAGCCAGTCAATCAATCAGTCATTCAACAAAGTTTCTTAGTCGGCTCATCAGTTTTGTCAATCACAAGCAGCGATTGTTGTTGTTGTTGTTTTAGCTCACCAACGAACGATGCCACCCGAATTTATGATTGCATTACGTATATGTCCATCAATCAGGATACTTCTCATGGATTCTAACCATTTGCCGTTAGAGTAGCGCGCTAATAAAAAATAACATTGGCACTTACCTTATGTAGCTCATGAAAGTGTAGCTCGTTCTCGATATCGCTGGCAGGCAGCTGGCAGGCTGCTGGCCTTCGACTGTTATCTGGCGGCCACGGGGTTGTGGCATTCGCTTGATACTCGTCGAGTGTCTGGACCAGTTCCTGCAGTAAAAATTCCTGGCAAGTGGCATATGCGTTGCCTGTCAGCGCGCCGCCAATAACATTGCCATTCGCATCCGATTCCGCCTGGGCATCCAAATGGCTGTAGACAGACTCAATGTGCAGCACAGCAGTTGTCTTCAATGAAAGCTGCTCCTCCTCCTGCCCAGCCTCCGCCAGCTTCAGCTCCCGCTGGCTGCGGCTCACCACATGGTAATAAAATGGCGGCTCATCTGTTGGGGCTGCTGCTGGTGCTGCTGCTGCTGCTTCTGATTCTGTTGTGGCTATATATTCATTACTCGCTGTCAACTGTTGCCATATTTTGTGGGCCTGGGCCAAATCTTGCTGGGACAGGGCGATTGTCAGCACAGATTGATGATGTGCTTGAGAGCTCTGCCGGGAGACACACTTGCCCATCAAGGCGCACTATCAGCATCGACATGGGCACGGCCAATAACTGGCGTTGATTTTGATTGCAATGCGCTCACGTCCCACGGCTGACAGCTGATGCCTAATGCGCTGACTTCCGTCTCGCGATTTGTCTGTTTGCCTGTTTGTTGTTTGGGGCGCCTCCAGTTGCTGCAGCGGCACTTGCAACGCCTGTCAAAATTAGTCGTAAACGCATGAGTGAGTGGGTTATCATATTAGCTGCCTTGGCAGCCGCCGTGGCATATTGATATGCTGGGAACGTGTCTACATGCCATGCGGTTAGCCCCTAGGTGCTGACACTGCAATGCGAGAAATTTGCAGTCCCGTTAAGTCTGAAGAAAATGTGCTAGTCGGATTCTTATATTGATTTAAATAATTTGACAATATTGTTATTCTATAAATTTATATTTAATCAGTAATTTTTAAGCTTTAAGCTTAAACTTGAAAGCTTTAAGGAAACTTGCGCTTAAATAGTTTTGTCAGAGATAAAAACTTGCTTCATTTGCTAGCCTTAAGTCAGTTTATACAAAAAGCTGCTTCATTGCTTAAAGCTTTGAGCTTTGGCTTAAAGCTCTTTGCCATCTCAAAACAAAGAAGACATGTTTAAAAAGTTGTGCGCTGAGAAGTTATATATCAAATATTACAAAATGCTTTCAATATTAGATTTTCAATAAGCTCTATTTAAGTCTCAATCAGCTTTTATTTGTTTTTTTTTTTATTTATTACATATTTATTTATTTTATTTATTTATTTTTTATTTATTACATAAGTAACTTCTTCACACTTACAATCGATCAGTCTAAGGCTCAGCCATAAAGCTTAATTTTTTTTAGTCAATCAAGCTAATGACATGCTTAAGTTAAAGCTCTCTGAAAGCTCACACATTCAGCAATAGTTTAATCGGCTTTGCAGTGAATCGAATTTGCATATTATTTAAATATTTATTTATTTACATTTATTAAACAATGAGCTTCAAAGTAGTGCAAAGTAGTTTCCAGCTTAAAGCTTTCATTTTCTAGCACTCTTCTTTTCAAGCTCTTTGGTATTGCCATTAATTTCGCGCTGCTTCAGTTTATTGGCAATCTGAAGTGCAACTATTTAATGTTGTAATCAATTTGAAGCTTTGCTTAATTTTTTGCCAACATCTTTTTGCGAAATGTAAGAGCATGTAAACCCCTAACAGCCCCACAACTATCCACTGCGCCCCGCGGCTGCTCGCTTTGTCGATGCATTATGCGAGGCAACACGTTTTTTATTAAATTTTATTAGAGTGGCGCATGCACACGGACAGAAGCATAGCTGCCGCAGCTCCCAAAAGCACACCACAACAAAAACAACACACACTGAATGTGTGTGTGTGTGTGTGTGTGTGTGTGAGGGAAATGTAAGCAGCAGCCTTGGGGAGAACGCAGCCTGATCCTGGCTGCTAGCAGCTAGTAGCTAGCTTTATGGCGCATTTGCTGCATAACAAGATTTACACCCACTGTGGTTGCTGCTGCTGCTGGGGCAGCGGTGTTTGAGGTGGTTGCAGTGGCTGGGGTCGAGCTTTATTTCTGCTGCTGTTGCACTGTTTATGCCTGCTTATGTCGTTTGGCTTACTCACATTTGCCACGCGGCTTTGTGCTGCATAAATTTCACTGGCACGCCCCTCTGGATGTCCTGGCTGCCCTGGCTGCCCCGACTGTCCGGGCTGTACCCCTCGACGTTAGAGAGTACGTGGCTCCTTTGTATTAAGTGCCAAGTTTTTATTTGCTGCGTACTATTCAACATAATGAGGCAATTCTATGTTTTTCGGCTTTGTCTGTGCCACTTTGCAGCCAGTTGTTGCACTCGCTGTGGCAATTGAAGCATGCGGCTTTAATGCGGCACTTTGTATGCGGGCAAATCCTTGAGCTGCGATTGGGTCGCATATGTAAATTGAGCATCGAGTAATTATGCGCATAAATAAGCGTAAGCGTGCCACCAACAACTGCCCAGCTTGCGAGCCTGCAACAAGAGCTTCGGCTTAATCGACGTGGATGCCACAGATATAACTGCCAGCCTGGCTGGCTCTCTCTTGCCATCTGTGTGTGTGTGTGTGTGTGTGTGTGGCACGTAGCTCATGCATAAGCATAACAATGCCCATTACCATTACCGTTACTATTCTGATGCTTGCACCAAATCGATGTGGCATGCAACAGCTGCACGCTTACAACTTTGGCTGGCAGACGCCGTCGCTGCCGTCGCTGCCACTACGACACGTTGGCTCATGCATTTCAATTGCGGCCCAAAATGAATGCGACTCAAATGCCTGCCGCCACGTGGCAGCTGCAACGAATGCCATTGCCACCAATAAAAGGAAGAAGCCCTGAACTTTTTGGCTAGCAATGCTGACGCTGTTAATGCCCCAGGCATCAAAATAAAACTTCGCCCCAAGACGAACGCCAACTTTTGTGCATTTCTCATGCAAATTGACAGCGAACAACTATGGCAAGCACTCATTGCGGCTGACACGGCGCTCGAAGGTGCCACAGCTCGCGGCTAGACCAAGTGGCGACTTCACTCAGTCTCTATCGGCCTGGCTGTCCGTCTGTCTGGCCGCCGTTGCGTGGTTAAAAGCAATTGCATTTTGGTAATTGAACAAGTCAACGCTTAATTATTGCACTACGCTGAAAGCCAACCATAAATGTCTGGCTGCCTGCCACAACAAGCGGCGTGGCCCAGCCCCACGGACGAGTCGAACGAATTCTCATTTATTCACGGTGCTGGCGGCGGCGGGGGCCGGGGAAAAGCGCATTTTCATGGCGCGGAAAATGTGCAAAAATGAGCAATTGCTTCTGTAAACGTTTGCTGTTGCTTCTGGTTGCCGTTGCAGTGCCACACATATTGTGGCAGTTGCCAGTCACATAATACCCAGTAGCTGCTCTACAAAGGTTATATAAAGCGCATGCATCTGCGTGTGCCAGCTCTAATTAGGCGTAGCGCAATAATTGAAGTGAGCCTGCAGGTGCATGCAATGGAAATGTGGCAGGAGCTAAGCAGAAAGTCAGCTGGAATATCTTTATAAAAAAGCGTGAATTCTAAGCATAGTTGGCACTGAGGGGCAGTCGCATGGCTATACAAAATAAAGTGAACTGGGAGCAGGCCTTAAATAAATATGATTTATATCTGTATGAATATCAAGCACTGGAGTCGAGGAAGTCTTCCAAATTGTAAATGGCTATTCAGGAGAAGCCTGAGGAGGCAGCAAAGCAACTATAAACTCAGCATGTCTCTTTAGAGTTAAATAAGTGTATCAGAGAAATTATTATAAAAGTCATCTTAGAGCAAAAATTGTTAACTATGAATAACTTTTTAAATAAGTACAAAATTGTATAGATAAGTGCTTGCCACATAAACTCATATTAACTATCATTTAGCTGACCCTGAGGGCGGCTTGTCTGAGATCCATTTTAAGAGCAGTTAGTCAAGTAGTTTGCCAATCAATCTGCTTGCTCAACAGACACAAGATAATCAGCCAGCAGAGCAGAGAGTAGAAAGTCTAGATAAACTGATTAAACTAACTTATAAATAATTTAGCAAAAAGTGTTCCAATGTGCGCTCTAGAAATGAAAAGCAAATAGACCCGCTAGTCTGCTCGCTTGAAAGCCAGGATGGCAAATAAAATTTTTATGGCCAAAAGGATATCTTGAGGTCCATCAAGTTATTGTTGTGCCCGAAAGTTTGCTGTCTGTTTGCGCTCGATGCGTTTTAATTGACGGCTCATTTTGTAGCAACTGCAGTTGCCATAGGCGAGACAGTTGTGGCAGTGTTGGGTTTTAAGGTACTTTAAGTTTTGTCTAGTTAAAAATAGATCCGTTTCCGTTATTGGACGAGTTTCAGTATAAATGCTGGCATTGGTCGCTGTGCCTCAATGAAAATGTTTCTCTCGACACACAGCATAAACAACAACAAAGTCGGACACTTGATAGGTTTTTGTGCCGCTCTGGGACTGTCGTGCAGCCGCGCCCCATCAAACCCACTGCTCCCCCTTCCTCTCTGAACAAAGCAACACCCGCGCACTATTGGCCATAAATCAATTTTTCAAAAATGACACTGGGAAATGGAAAAAGTAAGCTCAAAGCTGTGCGAATATTGAAAGCTGCCGAACGAGCCGCTCTCATATCAGCCTGTCTGTCCCTGGCCCCTGTCCCAGCTACTGCCCTGCTCCTGCTCCTGCATCGGCATCGGCATCGGCATCCATAGACACCAGCCATACAAAAGCCTCTGCTCATATGGGCGTGTGTGTACATGCACGGAGCTCGGCGATAAACTCATCGCATAAAAAATGTATATTTTTACTTGCATTTTCTTCTCTTTTTCCACTTTTCTTTTTTTTTTTTTGGCCAGCAAATCTTTGCAGCTGGCGTTGAAAAGTTTTGTCGACGGGTTTGTCATCATAAATTTTAATATTTTTCAACTATTTCTTGCTGCCTTTTTCTGCTGGCTCCATTTTGGTCTACTCGGACGCTGTGCTGGCAGGGGAAACGTAGCTACGTTCGGAAATGTGAAAATGAGCACGTTAATAGCAAAAAGCAGATGCAGCCCAAGCCAAAGGCAATGCCACTGGCAATAGCACCAAAGGATATGCCAGTCCGGCATACGAGGCGTATGCGCAATGCAGCTGCAGCAATAGCAACAGCAACAGCAACAGAGAATGGCACAGCTCTGCGGCCAAGTGGCCCAAACTGCATCCAAACGCTCTGAAATGCAAGCTGACTGATGAGAAAGGATGCGAAAGGGACAGAAATAGAGAATGGGAGAGAGAGAGCGAGGAATTGTGTATTGGCTGGGGGATATGAATGAGCACAGTCAAGCGAATCGAATGCTATTGATAGTTCAATGAATCATTCTAATGATATGTGCAGCACACATCAATTTGTACAGAGACTGAAAAATTGTATGCAAAGGCATAAGCTCAAGGAAACTACATTATATAATACTAAATATAAGCTCATATATACATATGTATATATATATATAAATATATATCTGTGCATAAGCAAGAGTAAGACAAAAGCTCATATGCAAATGTAATTTTCTTTTTTATGGCTAACTGCGTAGCAAGCGAGAAAAAGACTTATATGTGTGTAAGCATCAGTGAAGCATATGAAAGAGGAGGGAGAGAGAGAGACAGATATAGACAGCGAGAGAGAGAGAGGGGAATGAGAAATATAGACAGATAGATAGAGATGGTAGCCTGAGAGACATTTTTATACATTTTTATATAGAGTGAGAGAGAGAAAGAGATAGATAGGTAGAGACAGATAGATAGACTGAGAGAGAGATAGGGTGATATAGAGAGGGACAGGTGGGTAGAGGCAGATAAATATAAATAAAAAGAGAGGAAGACAGCCAAAGAGAAAGAGAGAGAGTCTGAGAGGGAGCCATGCAGAAAAAGAAAGTTATACAGAAAATCCGAGAAGGAGAGAGAGAGAGGAGACATTGAAAGAATGAGAGAGATTGCTAAAGCGAGAGATCCTTACATAGAGGCAGCCATAGAGAAAGATTGAGGGAAAGAGAGGGCAACACAACGCGAGAGACGACCACATAGAGAGATAGCGAATAGACTAAAAAACAAGTCATTTCATATCAAATTAAAAAAAAAATAAAAAAAATGTATATAATGAAGGTTAAATTAAAGGTCTAATTTAAAAAAAAAAAACATACAGAGAAAAATAATAATAATAATAATATGTTTTATTTAATGACCAGCTACGTAAATTTAGTGTCCAACTGGCACAGGAAAACATATGCATAAGTAAATGTATATACAGACATGCATATATATAGATATATATGCATATATATATTACATAAACATAATACAGCTTATGAGAATGGCCGCACAACTTGTTGAAAGAACACTTAGTAAAACACATTTAATCAGGCCAGGAAATCTCTGAGCTGTGCTTGGATTAATGAGAATCACAGAGAGAGGCAGTGGGCAGAAATACATTTTGCTTTAATTTATTTAAAAACTGGAAATACTCTGTTGTGCTTACACACTTAAATAAATGTATGCAACACACACACACATACATACACACACACACACACACACACACACACACACACACAAATTTAAGCATATTTCATTCAGCTGAGAGCTCGACTTGAAACTGAAATCAATTTTATTTAGTCGACTGCACTTAATGATAAGCATTTGCAAAAAGTCGTTAGTTAAGAGTGGCCAGTGGACGAGCTGCTGTCAACTGTCAACTGAACTTCCGGCATTGGCTCAAATTGGCCAGACGACTTCATTTCATTTACATGCACTGCATAAGTGAGTGGCCCAGTGGCCAAGTTAGTTATGGTTGCATGTTGCAAGTAGCTCAGCAGCATCTCTATCACTGTGTGCGTAAGCTCAAGGCAGAGAGACCTTTTCATTATTATATTTCAGTTGCGTTTACTTAATTATTACTTGGCTTTTGTTGCTCTTGTTGTAGTTGTTGTTGCTGTGGTAAAGTCTTTGGTAATGTTTCAGGGCTTTTTGTTTACGAGTCGCCAGCAGAGCGTGCAAGCAACACGCAATTGACAAGCTCCTCATCAAGCCGCATAATTGCAAATTGTTGTTGTTATTGTTGCTGCTAGTGTGGCGCTTCAAGTCGCTATACTCTGCTTTAAACTTAGCAAAGTGGGGTATATTTGTTTCAAATTTGATGTGTGACTGAGGCAACTCCAAAGTATTTTCTTTTATTTTCATTCTAGTTAGAGCTGAATTATCTTATGCATATCTAGAGACAAGTTACTCCTTTTCTATAGTTAACTCAACTAACAATGCTCTCTCATTGCAGAGTACCTAGCAGTTGATCAAGCTCAACTTCTAAACTCTGCAGCAGCAGAAGTCGAGACGCTTGTTTGTCAATTTGCGCACTTTGAAAATTCTTTTATGTAAACAACATTCAGCTAAGCGAGTCATAGCACATATAAATAATAATACTTATATATTTATATATATATATATACATATATGTTCATATATATATATAATAATTACGCAATTATTGGCCTTGTCATGGCTTTTGCTGCGAAACATTTTTAACTCTCCTCAAACTTGAAACTTTATTAAAATATTTCTCATATTTTTGCTGAGCTTCTTCAGCCTGTTTTGAATTTTAATTTTCTAATTTCTTCAAGTGCGGAAATATGCATAAATTATTGGCAGTCAATTTCATTTCAGAGACTTTTGATTAAAGTCGGAAAAGAACAATTCACATCATAAATATTTTGATTGATTTATAAATTGCATAAATCATTAACATGAGCAACTAGAATTGAACTGGATTTTGTGCTAATAAATTAGAAAACGTGCTGGAGTGCTGCAGCCGGCTGTAACCGACTGCACAATACTGGTCTAAAAGCTGAGAATGTTATAGTATAGATGGGAAAGATGGAATGGATGGGATAGATGGGATAAATAAAATAGACCGTATAGACAGAGTGCATAGGAGAGATAGATAGTATAGATAGCACAGAAGGATAAACAGAATAGACCGGATAGACAGAGTATAGAGGATAAACTGGATAGACGGGATAGACAGGATAGACGGGATAAAGAGAATAGACGGGATGGAGAGATATATAGGATAGATCGTATAGCCAGGATAATCAGGATAACCAAAATGGTTAAAAGGAAAGATGGGATAAATATAATGGACAGGTTAGACAGGATAGACAGGAGACAGGAGACAGGATAGACAGAGTATAGAGGATAAACTGGATAGACGGGATAGACGGGATAAAGGGGATAGATAGGATAGATCGTATAGCCAGGATAGGCAGGATCAACAAAATGGACAAAAGGATAGATGGGATAAATATGATGGATAGGATGGACAGGAGATAGGATAGATAGAGTATAGAGGATAAACAGGATAGACGGGATAGGCAGGATAGAGGGGATAAGGAGAATAGACGGGATGGATGGGATATATAGGATAGATTCTATAGCCAGTATAGGCAGGATAAGCAAAATGGATAAGAGGATAGATGGGGTAAATATAATGGACATGCTAGACAGGATAGACAGGAGACAGGATAGACAGAGTATATAGGATAAACAGGATAGACGGGATAGACAGGATAGACGTGATAGAGGGGATAGACGGGATAGAGGGGATTGATAGGATAGATCGTATAGCCAGGATAGGCAGGATAAACAAAATGAATAAAAGGCCAGATGGGATAAATATGATGGATATGGATAGACAGAATAGAGAGGATAGACAGGAGACAGGAAAGACTGTTTAAATAGGATAAATTATAGACCTCACAACTTAGCCAATCTCAGACTCAGTCAAACCAATCTACCCTATGCATACACAACATTTATATAATATGAATCTTTTTATGAATCGAATTGCATAAAACTGGTTTATGAGTTCTAAAATCGTTCAGTGCATGCAAATGTGAACAACAAATAAAAGCATTTACTTTATATGAAATTAAAGTTCATTTCATTTCCAGAGCTGAGCAGTTGAACCTGTTGTGTGTGTGAAATTTATGCTCTGCTTCGCAGAAATTTCTATTTGGCCTTAAGCATTTAGATAAGTTCGCATTGATATTCACATGCGAGCGATTGCTTTTGCTAATTTCCTGTTTTGGCCGCTTGTCACACGCGGCGTATGCTTAACGTTTTGACGATTTGCCCAATTTATATGCCTGGCAGGCATCCGCTCAGCTTTGCTCGCATTCTTATTGTGCACACGATTAGAAGCTCATGTGAATGGCCTCAATCATGATTGAGCCACGTTTGCCAGCGCCTCGGCATGCAAATGCCGTTATTGTTCGGGTATTACGAGCATAATATAACTGGCATTAAAAGACAGCCCAGTTATTTAACATGCATAACAGAGCGGGAAATGTATTTGTGCACGCGTCAACTGAAGCGCGAACCGAGCACCGAATGCAACAATGACGACAACGGCAAAGCAACAGCAGCAACAATCAGATTGAAATCGAGACTAGCCATAAATAAAATTATTATTATATAGTCTACAAGCGGGTAATACCCGGCTTTGCTCGTGCCAAGTCTCAGACGTGATTTGGCGTCTGCGAACCCCACTTCTCGAATTCTCAGTTCTATATCGTTTATCGTTAGATCACGTATTTGATAAGCTTTGAAATAGATCTGCTATCAACATAAGATTTAACACTTCACTTTAAAGTAACTCAGTCACGTTTGGTCACAGCATCCACTCGCTTCATCAGTCACTTAGTTCATCAATCAGTCAGTTCTTCTATGCGTCAATCAGCCCATAAAACATTTAGTTGCACCAACAGCTAGTCAGTCAATCAGTAGGTTACTGGGTCATTCAGTCCGTCTGCTATTAACTGTGTCAAGCAGCCTATTAGCCAACTGATCAGGCTCGTCAATCAGTCGCTCAATCAATTACATAATTATTGTATTACTTGATGCATCAGTCACTGTGTCAAACAAATTGTAATTCTAGCTTCCATTTTAACGCCAATCAGTCACAATCAATCAACCCCATCAGTCAATCAGTCAAACAGTCTTTAAGTTGATTAGTTTATTAATCAGTCAGTCAAGTGACTTGCCTTAACAGTTTTTTGTCTCTCAGTCTCTAGTCAATCATTCAAGCAGTTCATCAGCTAAGCAGACCCTTTGTCCAGCATGCCATCAGTCAATCAGTTGGCCTATCAATTTACCCGTGCCACACTCAATCATTAAGCCACTAGGTCAACCGGTAAATCAATCACAATTGGACTCATTTATAGAATGATACTATATACCATTTGCCCATGCTCTAGATCTATAACTAGTCTATCGGTGTCATCGTCTGCTGCTGGGAGACGTCTGTAGCAACGCGAGAGATGCAAATTGTATGCGTGAGGCGAACCCACCTTTGGCTGGCTGCTCAGTTCTGCGCGGTCTTATCTTATCAGGGACTTTGGGTTCTTAGTTTTGTTTTGTTGCGCGTAATTAAATTGCGATTCACGAGCGAATGTTGAGTTCTCCGTTTACTCTTATATTTTCCTTTCTTTTCCGAGTGCACTTTGTGTCTTGAGTTTTTCTCAGATATTTTCTTTCATTTTAATGGACTTCACTTTTTATTCAGATGTTTGCTGCGACTGGCCGTGAAACGAGCCTCGGGCATTATTTGCCTGTTGTTTTATCTGCTCTTTTATAACTTTTAGCAGCTTTTTGTTCTCTTTTATTTATTCTCCAGTCAACTGACTCGCACTGGCGTCATATTTGTTATTATTATTAGCCAAACGCGTCAACAGCTACTGACTGGGCGCTACGCATATGGCGAGCACCTTAGAATCGATCGTTAAAGCCAAGTGAAAAAGCTCCGAGTGGCAGCTCTCGACAGCAGGTGAACGATTGAGCTTTGCCTCGAGCTAGAGCTTGAGAGCGCAAGCTTTTCTATTCGCTAAGCTGATAATGACAATTATCACGCTATGCACACTGTGCTACAAGCTCAAATGTTTTACTAGACTCGAAAGCTTTGATCGGCTGATCATCGTGCCATAGAGCTTGGAATTTAGTTTGTAATGCTTTTGGTATTTATTAAGAGATTAGAAACCGTCTAATTGACTCTTAACATCGATAACAAAGTTGAGTTATATCAAAGTGCCTCTGCTCAGCTAGAGCTCCATGAGGATTCGAACCCATATACCCAATTGCCAAAGGCACGATAAACTTGAAAGCCTTGATAAGCTGACAATCCTTTAGCGTTTAGCTGAATCCTTTTTTTATCGCACTTTAGTTGGTCTATAAAAGTAGGGACTCCCACACACGCTCACATTGTCGCGCACATCAATATGCATAACTGTTGCAGCTATTAAAATGGAAGTTTCTTATCAAGAGCTGGCGAACCAAATGAAATTCAACACGTTGAAGCAGAGCAGGTGCAAAAGTTCAAACCCCCAAATGCTACGGGACAGGCTAAAAGCTTGGCCAGTTGGCCGCCAAATGCCTGAGACTAGGGTTCGGGCTTGAGTCTAGGCAGCGCGCTTAGGTTTGGGTTTGGCTGGGCGTCAAGTGCCATAAAAAGCAACACTTGCAACCCAAAAACTAAAGTGCAGGTCTTTGGCATGTGGCACGAACTGGTTGCTGGATGTTGCCACCCGTTTGGCAGTGTGCTCATCTTTCAAAGGCGTCGTATTGCGTAAGTGTTGGTGTTTGCTGTTATTGCTCTGCACACACACACACACACATGCACATCCACACTGAGATACAAATAGAGACGTGTGTACACAGAGAAGTAAAAAGAAACACAAAGGAAAACATTTACAAAACTTCCATTTCCGTTTTATATGGGCTCGCTGGGTAAGCAACCCTCCAGCGCCAACTGACAGCGCCAGCCCTGCCCGCCCACTTGCCGGCACACAGCATCAGCCATGCGGGAAAATTGAAAAAAGATAGTTGCACATAGTTAGATGAACCAAATGGCAAACCCGCAAACCCTTAACCCCGCAGCCCTCAGCCGGCAACCTGAAACGCTACAAAGGTAAGAAAAATGCCGTTTGGGCAATGGGCGACGGAAGTGCGCATTGTACAGGCTGAGCAGCTAAATCAAATGATAAAATGAAGTTGTAGTCCTTTGGCGTGTGCGACCGCGAACACAGCGACAAACGGGACACACAGCCAATGGCCGACAGCAACAGGAGTCGCCGTCGGTATGGCCGTCGCCATCGCCATCGCAGCCGAAGAACTTTGGGACAACACACGCAACTCACTCAAGCGGAGCTTTTCACCACAGCTTTTCACTCAAAGCCCCAAATTCCACTCAAGCGTTGAGTGTGTTTGGCCTCTGGATTTGCGCTCTTATCATAATTGCATGTGTCATTGAGGAATTTAACAAAAAAACGGGGAAAAAAACTTGGATTATTTTTTTATAGTATACTTGGCAGCGCGCTGAAGCTGCGTAAAGTGTAGCCTACTTTTAGGGCTGGCTGACTGGCTAATTAACCCTTGTGCGTATGCCTAATTGCGCCTGCCAAAACTTTGGCTTTGACTAATTTGAGGGCTGCTTTTGCTCGCTTATCAATTAAAAGAATTTGAATTGATAAAAAAACGAACGCGTGGCTTCTTTTTAATAAGCACACATGTATGTAATTACTGAGCTGGGCAAGTGTGAGACGAAATTTTCCGCAGAACGCAATTATCACACACAAATTAACACTCGATCAAAATAGATGTCAAGTCGAATCGATAATAATAAAAAATGATAATTTGCCAGAAGATATTTCGCAGCCCATTTGAATGCGAATTTATCAAACAATTATCAAGCCGTTATCAATTGGCAGCATAAATAGGCCATAGAATTTGAATTTGTGTTTTGACGTCATGAATCGCAGCTAATCGGAAAATGCTCTTGTTGTTGCTGTTGCTGTTGTTATGGCTCGAATTTTTGGAAATATATTTGGGTTTATCAGCACTGCTGATACTACTCCCCAGCAAGTGGCTGGAGCATTATTTGAGCCAATTAATTGTTGAAAATCATTTGGAATTCGAATTCGAGCACTCAGAACTCGCAACAACACAAATTCAACATGTATACGGCGGTAAATTGTTGAAATACCGCACAAACTTCACACCTCGATGTGCGTATTACCATTCAACCTGGAAAATCAATCAATTAGAGCGCCAAAATTAGTTAATTTGCATTGTGTCAATTGCTACACAAACAATCCTCCAGTTCAGTGCTGGGCGCAGCCCTTAATGGTTGGAGCATTTGGATTGCATTAGACGTGATTCTAATGCTGTTATTGTTAGTTAAGCGCATTATGCACATTAGGGCTATTTGCACCTGCAGCGGCCCCAGAGCGTCTATGCGGCGTATGCGGCCTATGCAATCAGGATAACGGCGATGTGCCCGGCTGGAACCGCTCATCGCACAGCTTATGCGAAGGGACAGCAAAGAGAGCGAGCGAGAGAGCACGAGCATATGGGAGAGCGCTGAGTAAGTTGATCAGTAACGAGGGTGGCTCTTGCAAGTCATATTCGCTCTTGCATTTACTCACGTGCTCTCCAGAACAATCGATGCATGCCTGCTGCATACCCTGTGGTCAGTGCTGCTATGAGAGCCATTGAGGCAGGTAGTAGAATATATAAATAAAAATTCACGGAAAAACCAAAAATGTAAAAGGAACCGAAAACTCAAGGACAGGGCAAAACTAAAATGAAAATGTGTTGAAATGCATAAGAATTCCACTCTTGAATACGATACAGGGTACACTTATGTCGACGCTTATCGCCTTTACATAAAAAACGCTCTCGCTCTGTTCCAAAACATGTTGTTGTTGTTGCCTTTGTCGATATTGCTGTTGTTGTTGCTGCTGCTGCTGCTGTTCGTCGATTGCTCTCTGTGTTTAAAAACGTGCTGCCGCAGGAACAGTAAATCATTACGCTCAGAAACGTGCGACCGGAAAGACAGAGCCGATCGAGTCCAAGAACCGCTAATCGCTCGCCAAGTTCAAGTTTGTCGAGACGCCGCGTGCGCTGTCGCTATCAAAGTCCTAAAAAGTATTACGGAAAAACATAAAAAAAAATATATATAAAAAGAAATTGTAAAAGATATACGCAACGATATAGATATATTTATATACGTCATAAACATCGTGTGTTTTTGTTACTTTTGGTGTTTTTGTTGTTGCTGCTCTGCCATTTTCTGTGTCTGTGATCGTCTTGTTTCGAGTTCCCGTTCCCGTTGCCGACATCTCCGATCGTCGTACTTCTGTTTCAGCAACGCGTTTCTTTCGACTGTATATTTCGCATACATGTGACGCAGCCGCCGCCACCGCCGCCGCAGTGATTTGTACGAAAAACGATTTGTTTGTTGTGACATTCGCCCTCCCCGACGGCCCTTTGCACAGATGATCGGTCAATGAAGTTGTGCCGCACACAGTGGAAAATTTCCGAGACACAGCAAAACTGAGCAGCAGCTGGTAAAAAGAGAAAAAAAACTAAAATAAAAGACCAAATTGGCTGCAACCATCATCGAAAGTCGTGGGTAAAAGAGCTCTTAAAGTACGTGTCAATTATTATTATATTCATTTACGACTCGCCGTCTTTGGCTCTGTCTCTGCCTCTGTCTCTATCTCTGTCTGTGGTTATGGCTATGGGGTGAATGTGTTGTTGTTCTGGCTGCTATTTTTGTGCCAATTTTTGAAATTTTCAAATATTTTGTTTTTCAACTTTTCGACTTGTGGCTATGACGCTGATATGAACTGATTATTGTTTTTTCTGTGTTTTGTTTTGTATTTTCTTCAAGTACAATTCTGAAATAAAGTGTCAAACCGCAGACAAGTAATTTGCCCATTTTAGATAAAAGTGTTATACCTAAGTCAAATACAGTTTTAGGCAGTGCTAAGATGTGCCTCCCGATTTTGATCTGTTTCCAAATCGGATTCTTCGGCTCTGTTGTGCACATGGTTGATAATCAACTAATTATACTTGTACATAAAAAACTAATCAACTTCAAATACTTAAGGCATTAGACAAGCTCTTTAAAAAAAAATAACATAAAAGTCAAGCTCGAAAATGCAGCAAGTGATTACTCAACACACAGGCACACACACACATATACACATAGAGCTTCTGCCTCTGTTACTCATTTACTCTTTCTTTCGCTCTCTCTCTCTCTCTCCTTTTCTTTCTGTGTTTCTGTTACTCTGACTCTTTGATTCTATCTTTTTGAAACTGGTTCTGCATAGTTAGGCCCATTCACCATTCATTTCTTACATTTCTTTTCATTTGGTTTTTGTTTTTTTTTTTTGTGATATTTTTGTTTTACTGTTCAAAGCAAAAAGTACACATAGTTAACGTTTTTCTGCTTCTTCCTGCTCACGCTTCTGCCATCCCTTTTCCTCGCTCGCACTGTTGTGCTATGCTAAGCTCGACTGCTGCTGTTGCTGTTGTATGCAAAATACTGTAATAATAGCAACAACAATACCGCTTTTGTGCTGCAGCGGCATCAAAGTCGACGCTGACGCAGACGCCGACGTCAACCTTATCAACACCGTTAAAGTTTTGCAGCGTTTTAAGCTCCGCACGTGAATTTCGCGACGTGCAGCACTCTTTTCTTCTTCTTCTTCAGCTTGTTGTTGTTTGCGGGTACCGCGGCATGCAAATTCTTTGTATATGTAGGTGTGCTTGTATTTGGGCATAGCGCACCCTTTCTTAGTGCTCTGTCTCCCTCTCTCCCACATACACTAACTCGCTCACTCTCCCTTGCTCGCTGTGTGTGAGTAATGGCTCAATAATTTGGCTGCTTTAACCCACACACCCTTTGCACTCCCTCTTTCTCTTTCGCTCCCGTACGCCCCTTGTGTGCTGCTCACACGTTATAACAATGGTAACGAGAATTTGTTTATCTTGACTTGTGTATAGTGTTTTTTGTTCTTTCCTGATATTTAACCAAAATGTATCATGACGCCTAAAGTTGATTGTTGTTATTGTTGTTATGGGTGTTGTTGCTGCTGTTGGCTTTGCAGTTTTGTTTACACAAGTTGTGGGGAGCTCATGTTTTGTTTTTTCAGACTAGTATTTATTGTTCCTGTGCACGGTTCACGGAATTTGCAACGGCTGCAATTTAAAGTATGTGCGAGTATGTTACAACAAATGAGAGTGCCTCTTTATACTAGGGTCGCAGGTGTTCTGGGTGGCTAGAAATTTCTGCTAAGCATACGTAACGTAACACCTACTACTCATGTGTATAAAATGGGGATTTATTATTTTTACTTTCTATTGCAAACAATTGATTATTAATACACCACACCGTCCAGAACTTTCCAGTTATATCAAATAATATGTGTATATGTATTATTTATCTGTACCATTCGTTCCTGAAATAACAATTGGCTTCAGGCGAAACCAAAGAACCGATAGCCACTTAAGTACAACAATTACCTTTTGGATAATTTGATATGATCTGCCATCTCGCTTCCATTCCATTGTTTTGTAATCAAAACTGGAGACCGACATTACTTTATCGCGAAAACAATTAGTCAGTTGGTTCATTGGACTGTCGACATCTTCTGATTCTCTTTCTTAAGTAAACCCCAAGAAAGCGAAACCCCATAGAGTACTATTTAAAGTATTTCCTGCAATTGTTATTCATAACACCCAAAGTAGTCATCATTTTAGCTCTAGATATATGTTTTTCTATATATAAATTGGTGCTTGTTTCGGTCAGATCTGAAGCGGCAAGTATTGCGCTTATCTAAGCGCAAGAAGAAGCACTACAAATATTTCGCTCGCTTATTGATTACGCCTACAATTGACTTTTGTCCGTTAGTTAGTTAGTCAGTTAGTCAGAATGAAGGCCGAGTCTCTGTTGATCGTCAACCGTCGACCGTCGAGTCGATCGTCTGTCAGCTGTATCAGTTGGTCATTAACTTGGTCTCCAATTAGAGTGCTATGTTCTCCAATTGTTGTTGTTGTTGTTGTTGTTATAGTTGTGGTGACTGGGTTATCGAGTCGCAATTGATTTTTCATTCCGAACACTCATATGTGTGCGAATCGTTGAAGCGTAGAGTTTGTTCTTTAAATGTGTTTTTATGTTTTATTTATTTGATTGACTCGAGTACAGTTAGCGTAGTTCAAGTGCTCTGAACCTTTAGCCACATAGCCTGCTAGTGAGTATGTGTGTGCGTCCATAAATCCTTCATCAAGTCCAACAAGTTTGCTGGAGTGCCAAGTGGTTGCCATTCAAGTGGAAATGGAAACTACTTTCAACTGCGACTGGCTAGGTCAACAGCAACAACAACTAACAACAACAATTTTAAAATACAATTCGATTGCATAACATATTGAACTAGAATTGTGGAAGTGCGAGGGTCGTAAGAGAATTCATTTTGAGTAATAATAACTGATATAGTTGCAATCAATCTGAATTGATATGGATACTATCATTCTAAGATTTTTAACTGAAGTTTGTTAAAATAATATCATATCTAGGTTATACATATTCTATATACTATATATTTTCAATGCGTATAGAAGATGGCCGATTTATTCTCTTTTTTTTATTTCATATTTTATTATTAAATAATATTATTCATTATTCTTTATTACATTCCTTTCTTCTTACTTCTCTTCTTTGGATTATCTTTATTTCTGTTCTATTTTGTCTAATTATTATTATTAGGAAAATGTTTATATTATCTCTTATTTGCTCCAGTTATTTTATTTTCATTTTATTTCTGTGATCTAAACTCGACTTTAACTTATGGAATATACCTATTTGATATATAAATAAAAAACATTTGCCTTTCACTCATCAATTCCGCCCTAGCTACTCATTAAGCTACCCTCGGAACAACAACCTTTTGTCTTCATACACCTGTATATATATACACCTTTCTTTGCGTTATGCTATCTGACATGAAGCTCTGTCTGGCGGAAAGCAACGCAAATTGTTTTTATTGCTTTATTTAAGTTCTTGCAGAGCCGCAAATCAAATTTCGTCTAATCAAAATTTCTAACCGAGGAAGATTTAGTGCTCTACTTAGTGGGACAATAACTTTCAATTGATTGACTCCTATTACTATTATCTCGGTATTTCGTTTATGCTTAATAATATATATGGGACGCACTCGAATATGTTTAATTGCTGGCGTCGACTCTGGCTCTAATGCCCCAATTGCCCAAGTCCATTATAATTCAAGTTTTCCAAACTGACATTTTTACGCGAGTCGTGAATTTTTATTACGATTTGCGTGGAGGTGCGCCAAGCAGGAAGCACGCTCCAGTGGCAGTGCAACCCCCTTTCCTTTCATTCTAACTGAGCAACACTCAAGTTCAATGTCAGTGGCTATGGCAATGGCTGTGGCAATTGCAGTGGCAGCTGTTGAACTGTTGCAATATGTAAACCGGTTCGCAGTCGGTCATGAGCACCAACTGCAACTGCAACTGCAGTTGAAATTGGCAGCTGTTTATGAAATTAGTTATTTTGGTTTTTTAAGAACCGGTTGGATCTGGAGTTTATTTGTTTCTACTTCTTCTTCTCTGTTCTTGCTGTTGATAAGGGCGAAGTGTACTTGGCTTATAAAAGCTTGGAGATATTCCACTTGCAGCTCTTCCTCTCGCTCTCTCCCTCTCGCTCTCTCTTTCTCTCTAGCCGCCTGACAAGGAATGCCAACTGATAAGTCGATAATTGGTTCAATAATCATGTTGCTATTTAATAATAAATTTAATAATAAATAAAAATATTATCAAATAAGTTAAGCACTTCAGGCATACCCTTGTGAGAATTTGAAATAGATTCAAATGGCTGTATCGTGTCTTAAGGTTGAAGTGTATCACAAGCAGGTGGAATCAAGGACTTCTATCTTCAGAGAAAGGATAGATCGGTTAAGCAAAGTGCCACTGCTCGTCCGATTGGAAATATGGAATAATTGATTCCATCAAATGAACTGATAGAAATCTGAAACAATTCAAATGCAAATGAGAAGAATCTTAAAGGGAAAATGATGCTGATCTCGAATTTCGATTCAGCATTGCCCAAGTTCTGGCTATCTAAAGATAAGAACTTGCAAGCCAGAATATATCATCCAATTAGAAGAAGAATATATGTCTGTAGAGTGCCTGCTGTCAGCTCTTCTACTAGTTACAGCTCATCTGCTAGTCGCTCCATTCGTGCCACTTGCTTCAATTGCTGTTCAAAATCAATTTTCGCTGCGACGCCGCATAGAGAAAAAGACAATTATTAAGTTAATTTACGATCGTCGTAAATGCCATTCATTACTGTCAATTGCTTAAATAATTTGTGGGCATATCAAAGTCGCTGCTGATGGATGTCCACTGTAGCGCTGTGATAAGAGAACGCGCGCAATTCATGCACAAACAATAACTTAAATCAAAGTTAAGTCCGACCCTTGAGCGAGCGATCGATCGATCGTTTGCGACGTTTCGCTAATGAACCCATAAAATTGATCACCACGTTAATTTTGGACTGTTTCCCCTGGTACTCCTGTTTCCTGATCGGCGATTGTTTATTTGCCTCGGGCTTAAATTGTAACACCTCTGCTTTATGGCCAGTCCAAAGCGCCTGTCTAACACTTTTCCTTTGCTGCTGATAGCATGTGGCTCTGTCCGCCATAAAACGTGTAAATTCGTAGACCAACGAATCGAAGGAGTCACGCGATCAATTTGATCGAATTGAGCAATTTATAAATAAACCACTTTAAACTGTCTGCCTGCGTGCGAAGATTGATAAATTGCCGGGTATTTTAGTAGCTTTTGATATGAATTTAAAGATCTCTCCTTTTGTTTTTTAGGCTATAAAAGATTTCAGAAATCACTTTTCAAGATCATTTCCATTTTTGCTTATCGAGCGGATCTTTCCATTAGTTTCAACACATTTATAATAATGAAATAAAGTATAATGTTAATTGAGCCGTGTATATGACAAAGATAATACATATATCATGTGCTTGGTGTATGCCACGATCTATACAAGTTATATAAGATATTTGGAGAAAACTGGAAAAAGCTGACGGCGAAACTGAATGCGAGCTGCCTAAGAAATGCGAAGTTATTATGTAACTAATATTAGAAATCAGTCTTGCAATACTAGAAGATATAATAATAATATGTTAAATATTCTTCTAAAGATCAATTTATAAAATACTTCGTGTCTAGGAGCTGATCTGCTATAGATTGCAATACTAGAAGCTGTAAGGGAAATGCATCGGGTTTCTAATAGATCGTGTCATTTCCTCCTAGCCTAGACATTCTATATTAGTTACTTCTTTAGGCACTAATGCCAAATGTATCTACTATAATAAAACTATATGAAATTGCATTAAATAAGCTAAACAAAGTTCTATAAGCTATGCAGAGTCACTTCCTATTTCTGTTAAGACTTTTAGCAAGACTAAATTTTGCTTGTGGAAAATACGTAATCGAGACACGAGCGGATGGTTAAGTAGCAAAACGCTTTGCCGCTTTGATCTATTTGCGCAATCTATCAAGCGCGTACTCTTTAGTTAATAACTACTGTTAAATCAAGTTAATAAGTAATGCATTTTCCCAGCACTGCCAAGGTTAGCAAACACCAACTTGAGCAACTTGTGTGTGTGTCTGCAGAATAGCTCAAGTTTAATCCAGGGCCAACTTTAGACAAACAAACACACAGCACACCCATACACTCATCAATTTTATCAGAGTTAGGTAAACAATCGCCTGGTCACATTGCTGTTGCATAACCCGCAAAGCGATTTGTGTGAATTTGGCCAAAAGGAAAATAAATCACTTGGAATAGCTATAACTGTTGGGTAGGCTCTAGACCTAGGCCCTCACTAAGCACGAGACTCATGTTGGACTGTCTGCTAACACCCGCACACACCCGCAGACACACACACTAGCACCCGCCCCTGTTGTGCCGCTCGGCGTGTGCGTTCGGCTTTCGGCTCGGGCAACATTTCGTTTCGCTAGTCAATGTTCTGGGCGCCGCATAAATCAGCGCCAACGCAACCGCAACAGGTACACACGGCTTTCGTTTGTCATTGAGCGCACCTCGCGTATCTGGACGCGCGACTCGCCGCGTATCTCGCCTACGTGTATCCTATAGATACATTCTGAGCTATCCGTGCGTTTGCCTTAATTCAATTTGTGTGGACGTTAAGCAAAAAGGTGCCTGCTCGAGTTGTTGTTATTTTTAAGGAGTCGCTAACACGCAGTTCACATTTTATTGAGCTATATATATATACAATATATATACAGTATATATATATATATATATACTGTCGATATACTTTGTGCAATTTGGTTTTGCCAGCTGCTCGTCAGTTGCTCATTTGCTTGAATGTGACTCAGACGCGCACTTGCCCAGACTTGCCTAATTATTGAACTTAATAAAAGAAATGTGTGTGTGTAATATATACAATTTATATATCTTTGTAATATATACAATTTATATATCTTTCTATATATAAAGAGTGACAAACTATATTAACAATTGTGCTCAAAATGGAATCGGCTAATGACGCCTTCAACTGGCGATCAATGCGCAGCCGACAGCAGAGCCGCAACCCTCGCACTCGCACTTCAGCACTCGCAAATTGATCAAGTGACAGTCAAGTCGCGTGCTTCAGTGTCCCACTGCGGCACACTGCGAGTTCATGCCCCCGAAAGTTGTGCGTGCCTGCAGCATTTGACTTTAATTGAGTCGCAGAACGCAACTTTATTGCTCGATATTGTTTGTCTGTGCTTGCCTCAATTGAATTGCAGCCGCGGCTCTGGCCAGAGTCGCCAGTTTGTTGTTTCTTAATGTAATTGCGTACTAAGTGCAACCTCTGCTACTCTTCACACTTGCAGCCCAGCCCAGCCCAGCGCCGTCACACCGAATGCCGAGATTCTTCTCCGAGCTGCCGCACTGGAAGCGCCAATTCGACCACAGCTCAATGCAAGTGCGCTGGTACAGGCATCTGCAAATCATCAAATAAGCCGCGAATAGAGACCAACTGGACCCAAGCCTAAGGAGTGCCCCCATTCGCGCAGACCCTTGACGGAAAACGACGCCAAAATGAGCTTCAGCTCGGCCAGCGGCCGCGAGAACAATGTTCGCAAATTGTCCTTTCTGGGCTTCAATACCAAGAAAAAGGTAAGTTTTGACGATTAATTTCAGTTATTCCATTTAATTAGCTTATAATGGATAATCCTTTATAAAACAAGGAAACAGAGTTTAGGGCAAATCTCATTTGTTTAAATACCTTTTGTGTTACATAAGCAAATGAGCTTAAATTGAGAATGAGATCAGTTTTTATGGGGGCTACCTTGATACAGGTGAGAGTCTTATGACTGAGAGTTTGACTGAATATTGATTATATTAATTTTTTTTAGCAAAAAATGTTAAATTAAAGTCGTAAACTTGAAACTGGTTAAAAACAAGTTTGAAAAACGCAGGCAGCTGCAACTGACTACGTAATACTCGTACAGAAGATAAAGATGTAAAACAGAAATCGATTCGAATATGCAGAAGATAAAGATCTTAAATAGAAATAGATTCAGACAGATGAAAAAGATCTGCTAGCAATATCTGTTCTATAGCTGTGCAAGATATAGCTCATTTCCGATTTATTACGCTCCTAAGAGTCATATATGTATGTATTGAACTTATAGATACTATTTAGATTAGGCTTACAGCAACTTACCTAACATGCTCTGTGGCTACAGCTGGAAAGCTAGAGATATTGTTCCGAACTTGGCATGCAGCCATTGTGCGTAGTTACATAATATTGCTTTATATATATATATATATAGTTTTTATTATTCAATTCTGTAAAATTCTGTAAAATATAAAATATATACTAAACGCTATTACATTTTAAATTTAATTTACTTAATTTAATTAATTTAAATTAAACATATTTACATTTTAAATTTCAAGTCCTCAAAGAAATAGTGAAAGACAAATAGACAGCAGAAACCAATAGACCCTTTTCACTCAAAGAGCGAGCATTAGAAATCCTTAAAGTTCTCTAAATTTCATTTATGATGAGCATTGAGACAGTTGCAATGCACAATTAGCAATTTGCCATTTGCCATTTGTAATTTGTATATTTATGAAATCAACTTTCGCTCGTTTTATTAGTTAATTAACCCGAGCGCACATAAAGCTCTGAAATGTCTATAAAAAATATGAATTATAGAAAATCTAACATCGATTTGTCAAATGCTGTGGCTTTCAAAATACTTCCTAATGCTGCACTTAAACATATATATATATATATCTATATATATTTTTACAGTTATATACTGTTTCATAGCTCAGTAATTTTCCACGCAAAAATAAAAAATTTCATTGCAAAAATCGTTTACAAAAATGCGTTGAATTTCGAGTGTGCAAAAAATATTTATCAAATGTTTTTTTTATTAATTCGTTGCGCTTTTTTTTTATATTTTTTATGGCTGTATTTTATTTATTTTTTTGTACACGCGGCTAATGCCAAGTAATTGTTATTGATTTTGTTGTTGTTGTTGTTGCCAATTGTTGTTTTTTTTGCTCTCTGGATTTCCGCACTTTTGTTGTTGTTGTTGTATTTGTGCCCTGGCATGCCCGCCAGCCAGTCAGTGACACAATTTGGAAACCAGTTTCGCTTTTTTTTGCGATTTGGATTCGGATCTTGAATCTCGATTTACAGTTGTCGCTTTCGTGTGCCCCAATGCCCTAGACTACGCGGGAGCGTGAGAGAGCGGGATGGAGGGAGGAAGAGTTCGCATAATCACGTATTCATTCATTCATACGACGTTCACTTGGATGTGTCTATTAAACTAGAGCAGACAAAACGCTGAGCACGTTACGTATACGCCGCGTGGCGCACAGCGTCGAGGGCGGCTCTAAGGCCAAAGCCAAATGGATATCAACAACAACAACAAAAACAACAACACCAACACACACGAGAACTGAGCACAAAGCGTAGGCAAAACAAAAACAAAAACGCATTTTTAATTGTGCGTCTACAAACAGTTAACATAGTGAGAGAGACAGAGAGAGCCAATGGGGGGGACGTACTCCGGAAACTAGTTAGACATTCAAACGAGCGGGCGGGCGGCCAGGCACTCACACACACACACACATGGACACACACATAAACTTTCTCTGAATAGCACAGTCAACAACAGGAAATCAATATTCGTGGTCAAGGCTGCAAAGTGCAACTGCAATAATAATAAAGGCAGCAAACAGTGGCAACAACAACAGTTGGCATTGGCATTGGCCAGTGCCAAGTGCTCGTAATGAAATCGTTGACACCTGAGCGAAAGCTGCGTTTACACTGGCTATTAACTTAATTGCTCAGGCAGCTATCGCCTAGCACTCGCCCGCACGCCTCGCTCACCTCCTGCTGTTGCCTGTAAGTAGGCAATGATTTGGGCTCTTAACGTTTCAATTATCCATTCGTTTGTCCCTCGCGCTCTGTCGAATGAGTGAGTGCGTTGAGCTTACCTGTTATCATTCCTAATTGCCGTCAAAGTTCTAAACACGCACATGCCAAACCAGCTCAGGTGCTAGTGCTGCATGAAAGAGTGGCACAGTGGTAGGGAAACAGTTGAAAAGAGAGAGCGAGAGACATCAGAAGTCATAAATTTATAGCTGAAAAACATAAAAAAATATAAGTAAATTATATCAGGCTTAAAGTCCTTAGTCTATGCCAATTAAAGCGTATCAAATTTACATCAACTCAAACCCAAGTCTATTTCTGTCAAATCTCTGTTTATCTATCATAATATCTATATGCCTTTATCAAAGCAAAAAGGAGGCCGTTTGCTGCTATAAATATATAAACTTTCGCTTAATTAATTGTTTTCTATATATAAACATTGTTTGTTTTTCCTTAAGATTGCACAAGTCTGGCCAGGTCCTTGTGCATTGAAGAGTTCATAATTTGAATATTTTTAGGATAGAAGCGGAAGCTTTTCTACCAAAGCTTTTGTCAAGCAGCCCAAATGCCACCCCAAACACAAGCGACACAAGCCAACCAAACCAGCTGACCTTGACCGTGTGCAAGGCTCGTTTTCGCTGCTTGCTCTCCTTTGCTCTCTCTCTCTTCCTCTCTCTCTCGCAGTCGTTCTCACCTTTTGCCTGCGAAAGCTTTTGGCACTTGTTCACATGGTATATGCGTGTATGCAGAGATGTTTTGCTGCTGCAGTCGCTGCGCTGCTCACGGAGCTTTCAAGCAGAGCTTTTTTGTTGTTTTTTCTTTTTGGTTTTTGGGGCGCAACGTAAAGTGCATTTTGATTTACGTCAGCAACGGTTGTAAAACTCTCGGTTCGCCCAGCGCCAGCACCAGCGCCAGCGGCCGTGAGAACAGCTGTGTGTGCTGCAGCGGCGTCGGCAGCGCTGCCAGCAGCTGTTAACTATGCTACAGTTATACGCGCGCGCCTCACTCGTGCGCCGGCGCAGGTAACATGTGTGTAGCAATCGCAGTGTTGGCCATGGCACCAGCAGCCAGACGCAGTCACGACATTTGCTGGGAAGCCTTCCCAGACGCCACAACATTTTTAGGCTTGAGAGCGCGCGTTGTTCCGTATTCACGCGTCCTCTGTGCATGTGTGAGTGAGTGTGCGTGTGTGCGTGCGTGCGTGCGTATCTCTATATATGTATTTGTCTTCTATCTTTTGCTAGTTGCTGCTGCAGTGAACTGTTAAGCAGCTCCGCGGGTCAAAGTGCAACAGGCAGCCAAGCAGCAACTGTCACTGCTAATAAAAAACCAGAAACGAAAACGAAAACGAACAAAAAGCCCCAACATCGGCAGCAGCAAGAAAACTTGTGAAAATTGCGCTGGCTGCAAACCAAATGTGAAAAACTCTTGTCTCTGCCAGCGAATTTATAATTGAAGGTAACAGAAAAACACGCGCTGCATGTTTAATTGAACTAGGCGCATATTTAAAACCAAACACCAAACATTGAACACCAAACAGCGAATACCAAACACCTGCAAGGTTTTCAAGTGCGAACAGCCTTGAAAAGTATATAATAAAAAGGAGCAAGGCGTGCACAAACACACGCACGCAGATACACACACAATATCACACACACACACACACACACACATACAGATTGGTTGATATTTTAGCTAGAATTTTTGGCACAACAAGTGAAGCAGCGAATTGGCTAGCTTTTATTTAGCAGACACCTACACACACACACACACCCATACACACACACACACTCTCGGTAATGCTGCCTACTATTTCGGGCAGTCACAGCACAATGTCATGTAATAATGAAATGGGCGCGGGGCGCGGTCATGGACACAGCATCTTTTATGGCTCATCTTTGCACACTTTTGCGGTCGTAACTGTAAATCTGTGAATGTGTGCGTGCCTGCGCGTGTGTGTGCACTTTGAATACATTCGCATGGCAAGCATAATTCACACAGCAGCCAGCCAAGTGAAAACCAATTTCAATTTAAGTATAATTTGCTCATATCACACACACGCACCCATACACACGCAAACTTAGATAGAGTACAGGTTGACCTTGAAGTATGCAACACTTTTGTGGCTATTACGAGAGCAACATGAACCCCATCTATAAATGTATGTGTGTGTGTGTGTGTGTGTGTAGTGTTTAGCATTGTCAGCTCAATTACGTTATGTTTTGACGCCTTTAAGAGCACAATGAGCACTTTAACCTTTGCACGTGTCTGTCCGGCCCCAGCTACGCCTACCCCTTGTCACTCGCTGTCTCCGCCTCCGGCGCACTATACGCCTGTCGCATGCCCTTCCTGTCCTTCAGCGAGCATTTCCGCTGCGAAAATTCTCAACAAATTAACACACACGCACAAATACCAACACACACACACACACACGCACACACAGGCTGACGGACAGATACAAACGAAACGAAGCATCGTTAATTTGTGCAAACAAAATATCTACGAAATGCTTGCCCCCAAAAAGGAGCTCACGAATCGAAGAAAATTATGCGCAACATTTCTTTCTTTTCTTTATTTATTTACTTATCTTTCTTTCATTTTCATTTTTTCATATATTTTCTGTGTTTGCTTTGTGATTTTTCCGAGTCAAGAGCAAAATGTAAAGTTAAACGAGTTTGTTTCATGTCCTGGAAAATTTCTTGCTGTGCTTCCTGTTCTTGAT